TTAATAAATTGTGACCTCTAAATGAAAATTTTAAATAGAATTTTAATTGAATTTTTATTAAAAGGTAAAAAAAAATGTACTTCACTGTAATCACAATTCTGCCATCTGACTATCAATTGCAAATCAGTCAATAAATTTACAGAGGGTAATCAGTGTCAGTCTTCCAACTTCTATTTCTTCATTTTGGGATATATATATATATCTATATATATCTATATATATATTGAAAACATATTTAAATTCGAAATTAAATAGGTTTAGAATGAATATTGATGACAGTTTGAAGTGTGCAGAAATAGTATAAGAATTAACGAATTAATATGTCTGTTTCGGTAGACTTTTTTGGACATTTTGTTAGACATGTCATTGTTAATTCTTGTCCTTTGACAGATCACAACATAGACTTAAAGTCCACTTGGATGCCCATGACAATTAATCCTACCAAGTGCTCGCGTAAATTCACGTAAATTCACGTGAGCACATTAACAATTTTTTTTTTTTAACCCACTCGTGTGATTTCACACGAACAGAGAAGATATGCTCGTGTGAAATCACACGAGCAGAACGTCTCTGTTCGTGTGAAATCACACGAGCATAAAAAAAAAAAAAAAAATTAACAAGGCCTGCTCGCGTGAATTTACGCGAGCACTTGACAAGTGCTCGCGTAAATTCACACGAGCAGGCCAAAGTCCGATTTTTTTCGTTTTTTTTTTCGGATTCGTAATCTACATAACAAGAGGATCGTAAAAACGTAAAAATTACCTCCGATCTGTTGACGATTTGCACGGGCTTTGCGAAAGAAAATCGAAAGGGTAAAGAGAGTTTTTGAGTTTTTTATTTTTTGTTTTTTGAAAAATAGTAAAAAATGTGTCTGACTGTTTAATATGTGCCTGCACAAATCATTTCAGTTTGTGTAATCTGATTTTGATTTGATTTCTCCCTGCTATATATTGATTCTTTAGTATTTTGGTTTTTGGACACTTGATTCTTCAGATACGAGGATCGAATTAATACGTGACACGAAAATTTGGGGCAAATGTGTAAATATTAAAAAAAGAGGTATATTTATAAATATGTTTTATAAATGTATGTAAAATTTTATGTATATATAAATTCATTTTATATATTTTCGAACAAATATATTCAAAATAAATAGCCTTATCAACTATCAATTTGCAATTGATTATTAAACCATGTAAATGATTAGGAAAGTAATAAAAATATTTGAAAATTTGCTAATGGAACATGCTTCTAATTTTTCATAACTTGTAAAATGACCCAAAAAGTGTCTGATAAAATATCCTCGAATATGTTAAGAAGTTAAAGTTTCTGTGCAGTGCATAGAAAATGATTGATGGGTTGAATTAGCTAAAATATTGATGGTTGACATGATTTTATTCAATTATGATTAACATATGGAATAATCAACTAAAACAAATATAAAATATTATATATATATATATATATATATATATATATATATATATATATATATATATATATATATATATATATATATATATATATATATATATATATATATATATATATATATATATATATATATATATATATATATATATATATATATATATATATATATATATATATATATATATATATATATATATATATATATATATATATATATATATATAAAATAAAAGCACTAAGTAGAAGTTTACGTGGTTCAGTCAGTAATGCACCGACATTCATAACAACGAGCTTTTCAATATGCCAGAGTTATGACTTATATGTATTTGTATTAAATTACTTAATGTTGTAAAAAAACTAATAAATCTACTTATTTGTGACGCCACGTACTTCAATTAATTCGAAAGAAGTTCACCAAAATTGAGAAAAATCGTTGTGGGAGAAGTCTACACTTTTCGAGTAATTTTAGGCACATCTATAATCGTGTTAGACACTTATCATAAGTTGCTTAGTTTATCCTACACGTTTATTTCACTGTATAGTCTGCACAAGAAGAGTTTTTAGCCGGCTCGGCTTGGCTTAGCTAGTTAGCTGTACAGTTAGCCGTATACCAGGCTCTGAGTTCTAGAAGGAGAAGCGGCCTTCTAGAGACAAACCCCAGTCCACGTCAGAAAAATACTCAACTTTGACTTTGAATAGTACTACTCCATTATTTAATATTTTTTATTACTTATTATATGTGAATAGTTGAACGCAGTTCAATATAATTTGACCTGGAATATTTCCACTAAATTTCTCCAAGCCGTTGACTAATTTAACACTGCAAATGATGTAATACTAATCAAATTAATGGGCTTCAGTTGTGGAGCCCACTTAACCGATAATGGGCTTATTCAATGAGGAGTATTAAATCCGGGCCGTAAATCATATGGCCCGTAAAACAATGGGCCATAATATAACCAAATATTTTATTTATTTATTTTAATTTTACATCCCTTAAATTTGCTCTGATTTCACATTTGGTCTCTTATATTCACAGAAAATGCATCTGGTCCCCTCATGTTTCAATAATTTAGCATTTTTTGTCATTTCTGTCAATTTACCGTTAGTCCATCAGTTAATTCAGTGAAATGCATACACTTGATTCTGTTAGTGCTAATGAAAATCTGACGGAGATGGCTAAAAGTGTTGCAATTTTGAAATATAAGGGATCAAATGTAACTTTCTGCAAACATAAGGGACCAAATACAAAATTGCTGCAAACTTAAGGGACTAAAACTGTATTTTTCCCTTTCTTGAAACAGTGAGAGAATTTTGAGTTAACTGCAAATTGAATCTGCAACTTACTAACAGAAAATCCCACAAAATAATAATAATAATTAAAAAAAAAAAAAATCTTTCACCTTATCTATTCATTTCCCTCCATTGTTTACCCACTAAAACACAGTAGGGGAAAAAGAAGCAGCAGCAGTGTGTGAGAGAAAATGAGTTCTTCAATTTTCAGCCCTTTGTCAGCTCCATCTCACACAATCTTGAAATCGAATCAAAACCCTCTTCTGAATTTAGATTCCTTTATTCCAAAACGAGTTTCATGTACCAGAAGAAGAACCCTTTTCAATACTACAAGGGCTTCTCTTTCTACCACCAAAGAAACAGTCTTGAAGGAATTTCATCAAAGAAAAGCTCTCAAAGTTAATATTCAGTTATAAAGATTTGATTTTTATTACATTTTTATTTATTTATTTATATATATTTTGGACCTTTTGTGGTTCTTGCAGATTATTTCTGGTTTGCAGAATTTGGACAGAGATAATGTAGCTGCTGTTGTTTCTGCCGCAGATAAGGTTTGTCTTTTTTTTTTTTTCTTTTTTTCTTGTTAATTATTATTATTTGTAATAGTATTTTTCTTGATGTCAATTGGATAACATGTTTTGCACAATAAAAATGTTTTCTTTATGGTTTTATAATGTTTAATATAGTCTATCCAATATGGATAATTCAACTGATAGTGAGATAAGTTTCTTGCAGCTTAATTCTTGAATGTTAAAATTGGGATATATTATAAGATTTAGATGCCATTAGTTTTATGATACATAGATTTCCGATTAGACCCGTGAATATGTTCGTTGAGCCTTGATAGTCTTTTTGTTTTTTAGCCGGTAGAAATATATTTTCTTTCGATATAGACTCGACGTTTCTTGTCCAAGAATTCTAAAGATCAATTTGTTTTGCATGTTTTATAGTATCATTATTAATTAATCATTTATTTCGGTGACTATTTCTAATCAATGTTTATGCTCGTTTTGTCAGGGAGGGGCAACTCATGTCGATATCGCCTGTGACCCGGAATTAGTGAAACTTGCTATTAGCTTGACTAAACTTCCCGTAAGCACCGACTATTTGGTGAAAAAATTGACCACTATTTGAAAATGGATTTTTTATAAATACTCTTCCCACGTTCCATGCTCGTGTAAAATATAGGGACTTGTTTTTATTATTTAGAATCGACTTATTTGATGCAACATTCGACATTTAATGATGGACAACTAATAAAATTGACGCTGTCGTTATAACCACTCTGCAGATTTTTCTGATTTTAATTGATCTTCGATTAAAACCATTGGTTTTAGTTGCCTAATCTCAGATAAAATTGCTGGTTTAATTATATTTATAACATGCTATAATTTGCAGGTTTGTGTTTCTTCGGTAGATCCATCAGCATTTCCAGCTGCCGTTGAAGCAGGAGCCTCAATGGTTGGATTCCCGACTTGCTTCGATTTTCTAAATTTATTAATTTAAATGATGTCATTTTAGTTATATTAAGCTTAATTACTTTTCTTTTTGTCAGGTTGAGATTGGAAACTATGATTCATTTTACGAAATGGGCTTGACTTTCACGCCCGAGCAGGTATCAGCTTTCGTGTTCTGTAAATATCCCGTCTTTTAGATTTTCTCGTTTGCAGAAATTAAAAAAAAAATTGTCGAATTTCAACAAAGTATAGTTCATCTCCACTACTGATTGAATGGAAATTTTGCTGATTAACTTATTGCGGTTTCGACACTGTACAAGAATAACCAGCTTCTCGAAACCGACTGAGTTTTATATTTTAAATGATATATATATATATATATATAAATATATATATATATATATATATATATATATATATATATATATATATATATATATATATATTTTTTAAATTTGATTATGCAGATTCTTGATTTAACGAAGGAGACGAGGAGAATTCTTCCACACATTGCACTATCAGTCACCGTACCTCATACACTACCCCTTCCGGACCAGGTTTTCATCTTCTTTTTCCAATCGAATATTCAATAACATAATTTCTAATTTCATTTTCGACCATTTTTCACTTAACCAAAAAAAAATGCTCGTTTTTTTCGGCCAACGCAGATCAAGCTGGCAGAACAATTGGAACTAGAAGGAGTTGATATCATCCAAACCGAGGGTGGAAAATGCTCTTCTCCTTCAAAGGCTGGTATTCTCGGTTTAATCGAAAAGGTAGCACATTTATTTTACATGCTCAATTAATCGAAAAAATAGCACGATTTATTGGATTTTTTTTAATAACAATTACAAACAAACATTAATAATATTTGTCAATAAATTTCAGGCGAGCCCGACACTTGCAGCGGCGTATTCGATTTCACGTGCAGTTCAAATCCCGGTCATGTGTTCGTCTGGACTAAGCTCCGTTACTGCACCGATGGCTATTACAGCTGGAGCTTGTGGCGTGGTATTAATTATTTTCATTTCAAACTAAAACATACCGAATTTATTATATATTTAGCAAATTTACTATTTTTTTTTTGTTTAATTGTGCGATTCAAGGGTGTGGGGTCCGCTGTCAACAAGCTCAACGACATTGTGGCGATGATCGCAGAAGTCAAAAGTATATCGGAGTCGTTGACTTTATCGAACAACGGAGCAAATGTGGTTCGTGAGAGCAGTTTAAGACTATAATTCGAAAAAAACTTCAAATAAATTAATTAAAAAAAAAAAGAATTAGGAAGTTTGATGGTTTATTTAGTGAGAGAAGATAAGAAATAATGTTGTGGTAATGGTGTTTTATTTCAGAACTTGATGTTGTCATCAAATGCAAAATCCTACTATATATGTACTTAAAAATAATTATTTATAATATTTGGTTATATTAGTGTGTGACATTTCAATTAAGTTGTACACATTATTGCTATAGAGTTGCCATAATTTACTTTTATGGGTGCCAGCCACTATACTACTAAAGCCTCCATATTTGAAAAATGAAAACAATAATAGGGCAAATTACGGGCCCCCGATGTAAGCCCAGATTAAGAAAATTCTCCTCATTCTGGATAATTACAACCACCTCTGAACTATGTATTATCTTACGAAAAAATCTCTCCTTAAGTAGTTAATGGGTAATTGTAATTATCTAAACATGAGGGTTTTTTTTTTGTAATTTAAACATACTTTAGGGGTGGTCGTAATTTGCTCGTAATAGTAAGTTAGATATCTTTTTGTACCCTTGAAATAAGGGAAATAGAAATTAATTGGGTTGTAATGAGAAAGCTGTATAGGTTTGGTTTGAATTATTGAATATAAGATTATTCATTTCATTCTTCTTTCAATTATCCAATTGCATATGGTGAAAATTGGTTGAGTTAGATAGCCACATTATTACCTATAATTTAGTTTAGGGCACAATGTAGTCAAGATGATATTAGTTTCTTGTTTCAATTTAGGTGTAATTTAGTTCAAATTACATATGTATACAAACCATAAACTACTAAAAAAATATAAAAATATATTTATCACTTTTAGAATTTTCTAAATGACATTTCATGTGATATATAACTAAACTGCTATAAATTAATACAATCAGGAGTAGAAAAATCTACCAATTTAATGAAATATTAAATTATCGAGTTAATAATTCAGCACGGTCTCATCGAGACAGGATCGAGAAAAAATGTTACTCGAGTAAGGTTATTACTAATAATAAGTTTCTTCTTTGTTTTAGGAGGAAAATTTTGTTGAGGTGGAGAGAGAAAAATCGAATCATGTATTTCAGATTAATTATAAAAAAAGGTAAATTACAACCACCATGAGGTATGGTTAAATTAAGAAAAAAAAAAACCCCCTCTTGTTTAGGTAATTACAACCACCCCTCAACTATAAATCTTCTTACACGTCCACTCTTGCGGTTTCAAATTTAGTGGAATCTTCTAGATTATATGAAATATTATCACTTTTGTACCCATTTTATCCATTTGAACTCCACATTTTGAAGCAAGATGATCATAATATGTGTTTTTTGGCTTGTATATATCAGATTCTGATGCATCAGAAACTGTATTTTTACACAAAACGAGTACAAAGTAGAGCACACTCTACGAAATCTCGATGATTATGTTGAATTTGACACCATAAGGGTGGAGATGTAAGAAAAAAATCATAATTGAGGGGTAGATATAATTATCCAAACAAGATGAATTTTTTCGTAAATTAACCATACCTCAGGGGTTGTTGTAATTTACCGTATAAAAATTAATTATTTGAAAATAATAATAAAAATATATAATTTTGTAATTTATAAACAAAGAAAATAACATGCATATAAGAAAGAACACACACAGTCACACTCTCCCCTAAACACAATCCCGAGTCATCTCAGCACAACCACATCGTTGTCATCGAAAACTCCGATTCACCACCACCAGCCACCATGCAAGCTCTGAACCCCACCACCTTCCGCCCCTCTCCCCTCGAGCCCCTCCGCAAGCCGCAAATCTCCACCGGGAACAATGCCAAAACCCCCGCTAAGAGGCTCCCCTTCAAGGTCTCCGCATCCGCCGTCACGGCGGCGCCGCCCAAGCGCGAGACGGACCCGAAGAAACGCGTCGTGATCACCGGCATGGGCCTGGTCTCGGTTTTCGGCAACGATGTGGACGCCTACTACGAGAAGCTGCTGAGTGGTGTGAGCGGCATCACCCCCATTGACAGATTCGATGTGTCCAAGTTCCCCACGCGCTTCGGTGGCCAGATTCGTGGGTTCAAATCTGAGGGTTACATTGATGGCAAAAATGACCGGAGATTGGATGATTGCTTGAGGTACTGCATTGTTGCCGGCAAAAAAGCGATCGAGGATGCAGATCTCGGCGGCGACAAGCTTAATACGGTACATTGGGTGTTTTTTTTTTGAGCTTAATTGAGTTAATTATTTGTAATTAAGGATAGTTTTTGCGATTGTTTTTGTTGGATAGCTTGATTCGTTTTTTCAATTTCTGGGTTTAGATGTAATGAGGATATTGGTTTCAGTAGTAAGTAGCTTATGTTGATCGGAATACTGATAGAGAGAAGAGATTTATGATTATTTTAATACTTGTGTGATTATAATAAGCTGTATTTGAATTGGCCAATTGGGCACTGTTTGATTTAATTGAACTCCTCTCTCAAAACCATCTTTTACTTGGTGGTCTTGACATAGTTTCAAATGGGGCAAATTTCATCATGTTCTTGATTTCTAGAATTTAATTTATTTTAAAGTTTTTATTGACGAATAGCACTTGTTTCAGAATACCTTTTTTTTCTGACCGAAGAAGTTTTATTTACATAGCAGTATGGAAATGGCTGCACTAATATGTCATCTGATTTTAGATACGTGGTCGAACTTTTGATAGATAATGCGTGTCCTCTTTTCTTGATTTTTGAAGGTTTACGCAATGCCGCTAATTATCTGGTTTGTCACTATTTCAGATTGACAAGACCCGAGCTGGTGTTCTGGTCGGTACAGGAATGGGCGGTCTAACGGTTTTCTCCGACGGTGTTCAGGCTCTAATAGAGAAAGGCCACAGAAAAATAACTCCGTTTTTCATACCTTATGCTATAACAAACATGGGGTCCGCCTTGCTTGCGATTGATCTCGGATTAATGGGCCCCAACTATTCGATTTCAACCGCTTGTGCTACCTCAAACTATTGTTTCTATGCTGCTGCCAATCATATCCGTAGAGGTGAAGCTGATCTTATGGTTGCCGGTGGAACTGAAGCCGCCATTATTCCGATTGGTTTGGGTGGTTTTGTTGCGTGCAGAGCTTTGTCTCAAAGAAACGACGACCCACAAACTGCTTCTAGGCCATGGGACAAAGAGAGAGATGGTTTTGTTATGGGTGAAGGTGCTGGAGTCTTGGTAAGTGTGCCATTGTAGTTGCTTCTTAGTTCACCGTTTTATTTTTGTTCTTGAAATTCTCTTTGAAACGTTAGCTATTGCTTAAAACTTAATGGTTGTTGTATACTGGTTATTGAATTTTGCGATGGTATTGAAAAATGAGAGATTGTGCTATATTCCACGAAAGAAGATGGTCGATTTCAGTCATAAATTTAAGAAAGATACTCGTTTTTTATTACACTCTAATCACCTACCTTAAATTGGTATTTTCTTGAACATTCTTAACAGGTGATGGAAAGTTTGGAACATGCAATGAAGCGAGGGGCACCGATAATTGCAGAGTATTTGGGAGGTGCTATAAATTGCGATGCTTATCATATGACAGATCCGAGAGCTGATGGGCTTGGTGTTTCTTCGTGTATCCATGCTGCACTTGAAGATGCTGGTGTTTCGCCCGAGGAGGTATTGCTTGTTAATTAATTAGTTTTATACTGAATTTTATATTGATTTCTTGGGTTGGCATTGGTAAATAACACGAGTTCAAGTGATAAATCAGCACCTTTTGGTAGATTGGAGTGAGAATCATGCTACCTAATTGCTTAATTTTAAGTCTAGTATGCAGTGTGTCTGTGTTTTTTTTGGTCAATGAAGCAGCAAATATGAGGATTATTCGTGGATAACCGAACATTTTAAAATCGGAAATTGATTTTTGAACCATTGTAACTTTTATAGTTAACGCCACTTCTGCAATGGTGCCGAATGAGTAATCGGTGAATTATACAATTGTAGCAATTCTTACAAAGAGTAGCAACAAATCCATACATATTCATTTTCAGGTGAACTACATAAATGCCCATGCAACTTCCACCATAGTAGGTGACTTAGCAGAGCTAAATGCTATTAAGAAGGTATTCAAGAGCCCGAAAGAGATCAAAATAAACGCAACTAAGGTAAGTACTCTCTCTCTCTCTCTCTCTCTCTCTCTCTCTCTCTCTCTCTCTCTCTCTCTCACACACACACACACACACACACGTCTGCGTCTGCGTCTGACTTGTTATCTTCTTGCAGTCAATGATAGGGCACTGTCTTGGTGCGGCTGGTGGTTTAGAAGCCATTGCAACGGTGAAAGCAATCACAACGGGCTGGCTTCATCCTACCATTAATCAATTCGTGAGTTCAAATTTAAAATTTTCTGACGTCTTTATTCTGTTCGAGCAATATGAATGTAGTCTGTCTGTCTATACTTCCACTAGCTTTGTTGTGAATGATTAAAATCTAAAAAATGTATTATTCTTAATAATGCAGAATCCAGAGCCCTCTGTGGAGTTTGACACCGTTGCAAACACAAAACAGCAGCATGAAATCAACGTTGGTACGAGCTTCTACTCTCTTGGGATATTACGAAAATCAATGTCAAATGATTTTTTTTTTCATTTTTTAATTAATGTTGCACCTAATATATATACATGTATTTAAAAATAAAATGCAGGCATCTCAAATTCCTTTGGATTTGGCGGTCACAACTCTGTTGTCGCGTTTTCTGCATTCAAGCCTTGATCATGTTCGTAACGAGTGGTTTATAGCAAGAGCAATCTTGCTAATTAGAGTGCTTAAAGAAGCAGATCTTTATTAGTGTTTTTTCCTTTTCTTTTTTTAATATCATTGACTTCTTAAGCATTTTCGATATCGAGTTAAGTTGTTTAGAGTGTTAAATTTTGAGTAAGCTTTTAGTACATTTTATTCGAACTACTGCTGCTTGTTTTGGAGTGCGCGAAAGCGTACGTTTTTGCTTCATTCTTGCTCGCAGCAGTTTTACTAGTATTCGAGTATGTAGTTTCGGCTTCATACCCGTTTATTGTTTTTTTTTTTTTTTTTTTTTTTGGCTTATAATTTGTTGTTGGTTGTTTCAAAAAATAGGTTCGTACTTTCACTTTCTGTAAAATAAAGTTGTTTTTACTTTTATTTCTCCCAAACTTAGTTTTATTTTTATTTATCAGTCATTAGTTTCACAAAAACAATAATATCTATTAATTTTCTTTATTTCTAAATATTTGAATTTAATTAGTTGAACAACTACTTCAAAAATAGTTGTAATTGTAAAGCCTATCATATATATATATATATATATATATATATATATATATATATGACGTAATAATTATCTTTGAAGCTTCAATTTCACATGATACACCTAATAATAAAAAGGGTAAATTACAACAACCCTAGAGGTATGGTCAATTTACGAAAAAACTCTCTTGTTTGAATTGCATCTAACCCCTCAACTATGATTTTTTCTTACATCTCTACCCTTAGGGCATCTCCAATAGAGTCTTCAAATTGGGTCTCCAAATTATGTTTTGGAGACCCAAATGGAGACCCAGTAAAATTTTGGGGTCTCTAAAAAAAAAAAATCCACAATGGGAGGGCTCTATAATTTCGAGTCTCTAAATCATGTTGCGGATTATTTTATGTAGTAATTTATTTATGGCTCAAATTTTATTCATATACGAGATTGTAGACAGTTAAATTTTATTTAAACAATCTTAATTATTTTTAATACACATTTTGATCCTAAAAATGAAAATTTCTGAAAATATCTGAAATATTGAACTACAACCACTGGATATGATTTCAATTGATCTCGTCCATCAAATTTTTATCTAATCATCTTATCCACATCTTGATGATCTTATTCAGATTTTCATTATCTTATCCAACTATAATCCATTAGATTGAATTTTCATGTTCAATCTTGGCCATCCAATTCTTATCTATTATCTATTCATTTTCTTATATAATGGTACTCCTCACCCCTTACACAATCACCACACATTCTATACACAATCACCTCACATTCTATATACAATTCAGTTTCTGTTTTATAAAAAGAAAATGGCACAGCAAGGAAGTGATAATTCCTCCTCTGACAACGACAACCAAGGCCACACAATGATGACGACGATGTACGTGGAATACCAATCACTCATGTTGGCTTCGCAGGGAAAGTGCAAAACACAACATGGAGGAACATCATCACGCCGGACTTCCATAAGAAGGGATCGAAGAGCTGCGCATGAGCGACTTATGAATGATTACTTTGTAGATCGTCCTTTATATCCTCCTGAATATTTTCGAACTAGAAATCGTATGAGGCGTGAATTATTTTTACGAATTATGAATGATATTGTGAATTTTGACGATTACTTTAGGCAAAAACCGGATGCCTCCGGAAATCAAGGTTTCTCACCCCATGTCAAGATGACAGCTGCACTTCGTATACTCGCTTACAGATATCCTGCAGATGCAATTGACGAGTATCTAAAAATAGCAGCGAGCACATCCTCAGATACTTTGAAGCATTTTTGTCGTGCTGTCAATGCAGTGTATGGAGAGGAGTACCTTCGACGACCTAACAATGCAGACATGGTAAGACTACTTAGAAAAGCAGAGCAACGGGGATTTCCTGGAATGCTAGGAAGTGTGGACTGTATGCATTGGGAATGGAAAAATTGTCCCACCGCTTGGGCTGGTACATACTCTGGGCGCCATGGCAAACCTACAATAATACTTGAAGCCGTAGCATCATATGATACTTGGATTTGGCATTCATACTTTGGTCCACCAGGTGCGTGTAATGATCTTAATGTATTATATAGCTCACCTATTTTCAATGATGTTGTCGAAGGTCTAGCCACAGATATTCAGTTTACTATAAATGGTAGAGTATACAAGCAAGGATATTATCTAGCAGATGGTATATATCCACGTTGGTCAACTATTGTTCAAGCAATTCCCGATCCACAAGGACGCGATAAACAATTATTTACGAGGTTGCAAGAGGCATATCGAAAGGATGTTGAAAGAACATTTGGCATTCTCCAACAACGATTTGAGTTTATTACAGGACCTTGTCGATTATGGCACAATGCACAAATTGGTGAAGTTATGAAACGTTGTATAATTCTTCATAATATGATCGTGGAAGACAACCGCAATCAAGAAGGTGACGATTTTGTCGAGCACGTGCAGCAGCAACCTGTTGATCGAGACCCGATAACTATTGCAGAATATTTAAGCAACCGTGCCGGACTTACAGATACAAATCGCTATTTTATGCTCCGAAATGATCTCGTCGAGCATGTCTGGAAAGAGTATCGAGATGGAAATTTGAATGTTTAATTTTTATTGTTGTAATCATGTTGTAAGATGGTTATTCATTGTCTTGTTTTTTTGTTTTGTTCCTTGTATTTTAAGGGATATTTGGGTCAACCATATTAATCCTCGTTTTAATTGATTGTCTGTAAACTTAATATTTAAAATTATATATTTAAAAAATTAACATTAATATTAATAACTTATTAGACATTACTAAAAATTCAAATTAACAATTAAAATAACTACATTTAAGATAATCAACGATAATCAGAAAATTAAACCGTTAAAAGAACATCAATATACTTAATCAGATGGAGGCATTTCGGGATGATAGACATCATCGTCAAAATTCAGTGAACGAGATGACCTTTTTGCAATAATGGCATTTTGTTGTTCAATCAACCATGCTTTCCTCTCCGGAGTTTCAACTGAGGACCTGCTCGTCATCATAATTTTGAAATCTGTTTTAATCTCAAATTTTTCTTGGTAATCCCTCATTACTTTTGCCATTGAATCAGCTTGTCTCGTGCTATCATTTACAGTGCCCTTATCTTTTTGTTTCTTAGCTTTTTTGTGCCCCATCGGCCTTACGTTGGTGTTTGATGATTCAGGTAAATTTTGGGTCTCCGGCACCGAATCCCCTCCTTCACTCGGACTAGAAAATAGGTTCGGACTTGAAGTGATATTTGCACTTGGGGAGAATTGAACTCCGATGATAGCCCTCCATTTTTTGCCATCTTGTAAAATTGTCCAGCAATGATCCAAGTTAAAATTTTTGCGCTCACTACTAAGGTATAGTAGTCTAGCGTCATCCAACTGTGAATAACAAAAATAACAAACATTTAGTATATAAAATATTAAATAAGAAATAAAAATAACACAACATAAATAACACTCACATTGTCAATGGCACTTGCTCCGCTTCTTGGCCTCAAAGTTATTTGAGCAACACATTCAGCAAATCTTGTACAACTTTGATTGATTTTCGTCCAATGGGATTTCAGACTTTTTGCTGTTCTGTTTTCACCTCCATCAGGAACCAACTCGTGAAATTTTTCTTGTATTCGCTTCCACATTGTAGTTATTGATTGATTTTTTCCAATAAGTGGATCTTCACTAATCGCTATATAAGCTCGGCACAAAGATGCATCCTCTTCAGAAGAAAAATTACGACCCCTTGAACTTCCTTCGAGATCTTCCATTACTGTTACAAAATAATTAAATAATAAGTCATTAAACTAAATATAAAAAAATTAAATTTATTAAACTTTAAAACAAAATAAACTAATTACTAAAAAAAAAAAAAAATAAGACTAATTAAATATTTTTTAGTAACTAATTAAATATAAGATTTGTAATCTCCACAAATTGTGCACCGCTTTGACACCCACACGTATTTTTTCCTTTTTTTTTTTTTTCCTCTTTTCTCTCTTCTAAACCTAATCCCTCTTCTTCCCCAATTTATTCACGCAACTCCCCAATTTATTCACGCAGCCATGACAGAGAGAAAACACAAAAAAAATTGCTCCTAATTTCTTCAAGAACTGAAGTAAATCCCAGCCCCCTATACTTCTTATTTCTTCATTCTCTGCCATAAACCCAACCAAGTTTCCAATTTCTACAACTATTGAAGAGAAAAAAAACTCACAATCTGGAGATTTAGAAGAAGATGAAGAAGATGAAGATGAAGATGAAGAACAATTAGAGGGTATTTATGCTTTTTTCATTATTTTTCTTACCGTTGAAAACCAACGGTCATATTTACAAATCATTCAAATTTTTATTTTTATTTAAAAAAATTAAATTCAAAATTTAAATTCAAGAAATTTTGTTTTGTTTGAAGCTGGGTCCCAATAAATCAGAGTCTCTAAAGCAATACCTAAATTTAGAACCAAGTTTGCATATTTTGCAAAAATCTGAAAATTTAGAGCCCCTTAAAATTTCTTGTTGGTGTTGGATTTTGGTGCAGAATTTCTATATTATGCAGCCCAATGGAGTTTAGAGACTCCATTGGAGATGCCCTTATGGTGTCAAATTCAACATAATCATTTAGATTTCGTGGAATGTGCTCTAGTTTGTACTCGTTTTGCGTAAAAATACAGTTTTTGATGCACCACAATCTGATCTATATACAAGCAGAAAAACACATATATTATGATCATCTTGCTTCAAAATGTGAAGTTCGAATGGAATAAATCAAGTACAAAAGTGATAATATTCCATATAATTTCAAAAATTCCACTAAATTTAAAACCCGCAAAGGTGGACATGTACAAATATTTATAGTTGAAGGCGTGGTTGTAATTACCCAAACAGAAAAGGAGTTTTCGTAATTTGATCATACCTCAGGGGTGGTTGTAATTTACCATAATAAAAATCCAGAATCTACAAAACAACTTTAATAATAAAAAAATGGACCAACAATTATTGGGTTATTTTTCGGAATAAATAAAGTACAGATTCAGCCCAATAGTGATTTCGAATTGAGTCGGCCCAGCCCAATATACCACTTTCGTTCATTTTACCCGCCAAAATGCAGCACCACTCTCTTTCTTTCCCGCCAACTCCTCAATCCTCACTCCCCCCAAAATTAAAAGAAACCTCAGCAAAATATAGCGAATTTGACTGCACGCACTTCTCTCTCTCTCTACACAGAAATCAGTTGCGAGTGAGAGAGCGTATACGAACACTAGCCATGGATTTGAGCGAGGATGTCAGGACAGCGCACAAGCGGACTTTTCTCAAATTCTTCGAACAAACTGTAAGTCTCGAAAATGCCCTAATTACTGTATCGATATTCGATCTGCTATCTTAGGTTTACTTTTCTGATGAAGATCCGTTGTAAATTGTTCAATTTCAGGAGTATAACATTGACCTAAAAACAACACTCGACTTGATGTTTACCCAAAACCGCCGCCGTTGTATAATTAATCTCGCTCATTTCTACCACCACAGAGAAGGCACCGATTTGGCTCGCAGGTGCTTTATTATCTACAAATTATGATTTCTGAAAAAAAATCAGTTAGTGATGATTTTTTGGGGTATTTTTTTTGTTGAAATTGCAGGATTTTGCATACTCCAAGCGAGTATTTGCAGCCGCTCTGCGATGCAGTGACGGAGATGGTGCGGAGTATGAACGCCAAGTATCTGAAGGAAGGAGAGCAGATTTTGGTTGGGCTTGAGGGTCCTTTTGTTTCGCGAAGGGTGACACCGAGAGAACTTCTGTCTGGGTTTATCGGTTCCATGGTCTGCGTCGAGGGCATCATCACCAAATGTAATATCCCTTCTGCCCCTGTAAAAGATTTGTGCTTATCAACAATTTTCTATGTGTCCTACACTCATGAAAATAATTGTTTAGTTTAATTTATTTGGATGGAATAGTGCTTTTGTTTGAAGGGGAAGTTAGGTATACTGGATTATTAGTGTAGGTGTTAAGAGTCATTTTCCTTCAAGTTAAGGATATTGAATTTGCTCCATTGAGATTTGAAATAGCGGTTTCTCCATCCAACTCTACATTTGAATTTGGCTTTAATGCAACTGGAAAATATATGACAAGTAGGACTGTATGAGGATTTTAGTAATAGCTATGCATAAGAATTACCTACGACTAGTTATTCTCCTTTATATGTCTGTCAAACAAATGTAGTTTCAAGTTATTAAGGGATTGTGACGTAAAATATGGGTTGGCTTGGGAATATCATTCTCATTCTATATCAAAATAGCATTCAAATATGAATTATGTTAAGTGATGAAGTAGCTCAAAATATACGTGCTTCTATAGATCCCTAGTTTATCATTACAATAAGAGAATTTATTCTGCATCTAGGTTCGCTTGTTAGGCCAAAGGTTGTCAAGAGCGTCCACTTCTGCCCTGTTACTGAGAAATTCACTGTGCGTGAATACAGAGACATTACTTCCAATATTGGCTTGCCAACTGGTTCAGTGTATCCAACACGTGTAAGATTTCTGTCATTTCCTCTTCATCTGTTTTTAACAACATTGTCTGAAAGGGGTTTTGACAAGGTTTAGTTTGTTTCAGGATGACAATGGCAACTTGTTGGTAACCGAGTATGGCCTATGTGTTTACAAGGACCACCAGACACTATCAATGCAAGAAGTACCAGAAAACTCAGCTCCTGGTCAACTTCCTAGAACAGTGGATGTCATTGTAGAAGATGATTTGGTCGATTCTTGCAAGCCTGGAGACCGTGTGGCAATTGTCGGGACATACAAAGCCTTACCCGGAAGCAGTAAAGGCAGTGTGAATGGAGTGTTCAGGTTATTACGTGTATAGTAGAACAGTCATTAGTAATCTCTTTCACCTATGTATTCGCTTGTGTTTCTAAACCTCTCTTTTTTGCTAATGTTTAGGACTGTCCTTATAGCCAACAATGTCTCTCTTCTCAACAAGATGTCACAGAACTTACAGTATTCAAGTGATGACATGAAAAATATTAGAAAGGTGTCTGAAAGAGATGATGCATTTGATCTACTTGCTAATTCTCTTGCACCGTCTATATATGGCCATCTATGGATAAAGAAAGCAGTCATTTTACTGATGCTTGGAGGAAATGAAAAGAACTTGAAGAACGGTACTCACTTGAGGGGGTGAGTAAACTCTCTCTTGTTTTTTTTGCCGACAATAGAGTGCAGTTTGGCCTATACTTTAAAATTTTGTCCTAACTTGTTTGTTACTTTCTAATTTATAGTGATATAAACATGATGATGGTTGGTGATCCTTCTGTTGCGAAGTCTCAGTTATTGAGAGCCATCATGAATATTGCTCCTCTAGCCATATCAACCACTGGTCGAGGTTCTTCTGGTGTTGGATTGACAGCTGCAGTTACTTCTGATCAAGAAACAGGTATTATTCTTTTTATTTATTTGGGTTTGGTTTAGCATGGTTTGTGATACTTACTAATAGACTTGGATTTGTGAACTCAGGCGAGCGAAGACTAGAAGCTGGTGCCATGGTTCTTGCTGATAGAGGAATTGTCTGTATCGATGAGTTTGACAAAATGAACGATCAAGATCGTGTGGCTATACATGAAGTGATGGAGCAGCAGACTGTAACAATCGCCAAAGCTGGTATTCACGCATCTTTGAATGCTCGGTGCAGTGTGGTAGCCGCTGCAAATCCAATATATGGAACTGTAAGAATCTTAGAAAAGTTGCAAAGTAATAAGACATGCTCAATTATCTTTTTTCTATCTACATTATTAATAAATACCATATGTTGATTATCTCAGTATGACCGTTCAATAACTCCAACAAAGAATATCGGGCTCCCAGACTCTCTGCTTTCTCGTTTTGATTTGCTATTTATCGTTTTGGATCAAATGGATCCTGGGATTGATCGTCAGATTTCAGAACATGTCTTGAGAATGCATCGGTACCGTTCAGTGGTTGATGGAGGTAATCTATACTTGTAATAAATATAGGTACTTATTAGAGATGAAACATAGATGTTACTGATCACTGTGATCTTTATGAAAGGCACAAGATTAGATGATAGTTTAAGACAAGAGGGGGATGGCAATACAGAAAATGGTTCCTCTGTTTTTGTCAAATACAATCGAATGCTGCACGGGAAAAGATCTGACAAGGGCCGTAAACGTGATACTCTCACCATCAATTTCCTTAAGAAATACATTCATTATGCAAAAAACAGGATCCAGCCTGAGCTGACTGATGAGGTAATGCCCTGTTATTTTATTGTCATGATCTTGTAGGAGCAAGATTTCGATATTGAATGTCTCAACATATTCTGACTTTTTTCCTTGGCAAATAATTTCTCCAGGCATCTGAACACATAGCAACTGCATATGCAGAGCTTAGGAATGCAGGTTCAAATGTTAAGGTTTGTAATTTACTCCTCTAAGATGTCTTGAACATTTGGAAGTACAAGGCTGTAATAATAATCTAAACTTTGCTATTGTGGATTGTTTTAGACTGGAGGGACACTTCCAATTACTGCTAGAACCCTGGAAACAATAATCCGTCTTTCAACTGCCCATGCCAAACTGAGGTTGCGAAGACAGGTACTTGTTATGATTCCCTGATTTAGATTATATAGTTCTTAACTATCGTTAAGTTTAGTGGCAACTATGTTTCAGATTTTTGTATTAAACGTGTGAAAAGCTAATCTGGCACTTGTATTTATTGTCTGTTCTTGAACAGGTACTGAGGTCGGATGTTGAATCTGCTCTTCAAGTTCTAAACTTTGCCATATATCATCAAGAACTGAATGAAATGGAGGAGCGAGAGGAAGACAGGCTGAGAGAAATGGAGAGAGAAACTGAAGCTGGTAATAACGATGGAACTCGTAATAGAGGTGGGAAAAATGCAACGAACAACGGTGATTCTACTGCTACAGCAGAGTAAGTACATTATTTTCATGCGGTTTATTATCTAATTAATGTTGAAATACCATTCCACTGACATTTCTTCCTGCTTTATAAAGTGATACAGAAGCAATGGATGTAGATGAAACTCCAGCAAGTGGAGCCAACATATCAGCAGAAGAGAGGTTTGTATTGTACATAAAATCAGATAAATATCGAGCAATTTTATTTTCAATATCTGAAAATTATGATCTTAACATCGACTCTTTCTATCGTGTGTGTTCAGATTGGACACATTCAGTGCTGCGCTCGGGAAGTACAGACATGCACAACATGTGGATCAAATGTCGATTTCTGATATTGAGGGGGTTGTTAACTCTGGGGCAGCTGCCCCTTACTCTGCTACAGAGATCATGTCCCTTTTGGAGGTAATTTATTTATTTTTAAATTTTTTGAATATTTAAAGTTTGTTCAATCATTTTTTATAATGTTCGTATTTCAAATTAAACTTATATCGTGCAGATAATGCATGACAAAGGAAGCTTGATGATATCTAAGGAGACTAATGTAGTTTACTTCATGTGAGAACAGTTTAATTCGATCTAGAGATATCGAGAGTTTCCCAATACTAGTAAAAGAAAAAAACGAAATTGTTGGTTTCAATTTATTCAATCCATTGTAATTTGTATCAAGTTCAAATATATGTTCTTGACTTGTTCACGAGTGTATATTTATAGACATGTACTAAGTATGTTACATTTTAGTTGACTGTATTGAGAAAATGTTGTGCACTTTTGCTTAATTATTAATTTGAGGAATATTCGTTGTTTTGTAAGAGTAACCATGAATCAGCCAATAAGAATATCTAACAAAAAAAAAGGAACAATTATAGTTTTCATCCCTCAAGATTGCACTAATTACACATTTCACCCTTCATGTTCTATTAAAATATATTTAGTTCCTCATGTTTTAATAATTTAACACCTTTGATCATTTACGTTAGCTAAACGTTAGTCCATCACTTAAGGGCCTAAGGCAGTGATGGGTTGATTCCGTTAGTTTTAACGGAAATTTGATTGAAATAACTACAAGTGTTGAATGAAAACGAGGGATCAAATGTGTATTTTATGAACATAGGGGTCGAATGTAAAATTAGTGTAAATTTAAGGGATGAAAACTGTATTTTTCTCAAAAAGTTAAATGTTTTACTCCCATTCGACTTAAGATTAAGCCAGTAAAAATATCTAACAAAAATATTATTATTTTATTAAAATGATTGGCCAAGAAAATTCGATTTTTTTGGGGGGAAAAAGTAAGACAATAAGACGGGTGTCTCTTCATTTGAAGTTACAATTCAAAGATCACCATAAACCCTAACCCCCAAAATCGAGAAATAGTGACAAAAAAAAAAAAAAATGGAAAAAGACCCATTTGCTTCGACAATTGAATCCTGCCGGCCAACATTTTCGCAGGAGGCGAAATTAACCACATGCCCTCTGCTCCGGCTGGAGATTATTGATCCCTACTGGGTCGAGTTATCGTCGCCGTCGTCCGAGGAGGCTTCTTCTCATCCCGCCGGAACGGCCGTGTTTACACATGCGGCTTCATCTCACCACCAAGCTGAAGAAGAAGATATGGTGTTCCACACACCACCGGAGCACCACCACAACTCCCACCTCTCCTCGTCGTCGGAGGATCTATGTGCTGAACGCGTGAGGGTACCAAAAAAGGTTGGGGTTAGGGTTTCGGAAGGGGAATTGAATGATGAAGCCGAGTCGGAGCAAATTAGGGTTCCGACTGAGGGATTTGACGGTGAAAAGTTTCTGAATGTGTTCGAGGTTGTTTGTGATGGAGATGAAGATGTTGACTTTTTGGCGACCGCCAAGAGTCGTGGTCTGACTTTTCCGACGCCACGATGGTGGCCGCCTCCCGAGGGTGGTGCTCGGTGATATTTGTCCAACATTTTGTAGAAAATATAAATATTAGTTTTTGCGGATAGGAAACTGGTATAGTTTTGTTGTTTCCATCTGTTTCTAATAGTGTCTTTTTGCTATGCTACTATGCTAGTGTTGTAAATTTGTTGGTAAAAAGCTAGAAAGCTTCGATTTTTATTTCTCTAATCGGTTTGTGATTTTTGACGTAAGGGACAAAAAAATGTCTTTATGGGGTCGATCGAAAATATTTGTAGATTTGCAACTGTGATTGCATAGTCAGTCGAAAGTAACCACTTTCCTTCGGGCAAGTTTTGTTGTCTTGCATGGATATGAGTATTTGCAACTACCATTGTTGATGTTCGTGTAGAGTTTGAGGTGGAAGAAATTCGACGAATAGTGGTAACTAGGAATATCATTCCATTGATATTTCTTGTTTTTCGTTCCCCCGAGCTTTAATACAGAAGCAATGGAAGTAGATGAACCTCCAGCAAGTGAAGCCAACATATCAGCAGAAGAGAGGTTTGTACTTGCAAACCAGAAATATCGTTCAAATCTCCGTTCGTAACTTGTTAATGTTACTTCCGGCCCGGCCCGCAGGTCAGGTCATCATCGCACGGCAATCTTCTCCTCCCATCTGTGGCGAACAGGAGATGATTAGCTTAGTTACGCAGCAAGATGACGTGATCTTTTGTTTCAAAATTAATATAATTAAAAAAATATAAAGTTGCAAAGATGTATAATCAATTGATCCTATGTTTTGGTAAATAAAATTATTTATTTAAAAATATAACAAATATTAAAATGTGATATATGTTTAGATAAATAACCTCAATAGGATAAAATTTTAAAACTAAGAATTGTAGGGCTGTACCCAAAGGGTAGCCCTTCCAGAAATTCTCGAGGGCTTAGGTGTAAACCAAAGCCCAAGAGGGGGTTTGGAAATAGTTTTCAACCAGCAATAGACGCGCCTCGGTTAGAACCTCATTAGCTGCGTCATTGCCCCAAGCGCAAAGATACTATTTCCCATGCCCCAGCCCCTTATTATATACTACTTTCAATTGCTTTAGGTTTACTTTTTCTTCCGATGTGGGATAAATACAACATCGTTTATTATATCAACTCTACTCAAATGTATTCCTCAGTGTGATTATGTGAGTTTTCTTCTTCGAAAAAAAATAAAATCAGTTTTATCAACAAGAAGTGCCTTTTGAATTGGTGTAAATTATGTAGAAATTTTCACAAGAGGCTGAAACTGCATTACAAAGGTAATACACACATCTTACATGTAACTATATCCCATTTATATGAACAATTGTCGAAAAGCTATTCATAATCATACAACCGATATGAAATGGTGTGCTTTCTTGGTTTTTATTCAGATGTATAAGTTCATAACTTGGACTCTCATTTTGGAGAAACGAGAAACACGGAAACAAAAATGGATGAAAGAAAGGTTCGTTACAGAGTACATTATAATTTTGAGCAAATGTAGATATTCGAAGTTTTCTTCTTTTTTTTTTTTACCTATAACAAGTCGAAATAAAGATGGAATATAAAAAACACAGTTCAAATGAACTTTGTGAGAACAGATTAATGAGGCTTCTTCCCCGTCGCTGCTTCCCAAGCCCCTAAAACGTGGTCCACAATTTGCTTTACACCAACACCGTGTTTTACCTGCGTGTATTTACAAATTGGATATTACATAAAACAAATGTATATATATTCTTCAGTTTAAATAGCGAATATTTCACAAATCAATAAACGGAGAATTCATTCATATAATATCATAGCATCATCTCAAGAAGCAACTATTAAAATAAACACCTGAGCAAAAACAAAGGGACCACCATCTCTCATTCGGAGTGAATCACGTTCCATAACAGACAAATCAGCTCCAACAGCAGCTGCAATGTCGGTTTTGTTTATAACCTACACATTTAGGATGGTTTAAAAACATTAGCACCCATAGCTGAAGAAACAAGGTCGATTAATTTAGTAACACCAAAAAAAAAATTAAAAAAATACGATGCAGCAAAAAAAAAATACTAACAAGGAGATCAGCCTGAGTAATCCCTGGACCTCCCTTTCGAGGAATTTTATCACCGCCCGATACATCAATTATGTATATTATATAATCAGCCAGTTCTCTGCTGAAGTTGGCAGCCAGATTATCTGCAAATCTCAATAACATATAGTGGGCAAAATGAGTTTTTTACTAGTCCTGTAAGTTTAGCAGTTGAGAGATTTAGTCCACTATGTTTTAAATTCAAAATTTTAGTCCTTTAAGTTACAAATTATGAGAATTTTAGTCCTAGCTATAACAGGTAATTCAATAGTTGTTTGAATGACTTGGCATTTAATTTATAAAAATAAATAAATTAAATATAAAGTAAATGATGTGGATGATGAGTTGGATAATTTTGGTGGGAAATCCAATTCTCAATGTCAAAGACACCAAAATGGGAGGAAAATTAACATTTTAATATATATATTTATTTTTGTTATAGTTTACAATAAAGAAAACCTCGAGAAAATTTAACATTCCATAAAATTAAATATACAAACATTTTTTTATTTGTTGTATGAAGGAAATAAGCATTTGTTTAGTAACAAATTTGTTAATTATTATTTCATAGTTAATTGAGAAAAAATAGTAATTATTTCATATTTGTCTAAATATTTAATTATGACAAATATATACTAACTACTAAATGGTGAAAATGACAGTGAACCATATATCAAATGTAACAAAAATACGAAGAAAACAAATTCTAAGATTTTCAAAATAAAATATATTGTGAAGTTAAATGATATGCACAATCATAATTAGTTTACCAAAAACGAACACGTATTTACGAATTAACCGCAAAAAATAATAAATTATATTCTTAAATATATAAATTAAAATGTTATTTTTCACTGGTGTTTTTGATATTGAGAATTGAATTTCCCTCCAAAATTATCCAACTCATCATCCACATCACCTACTTTATATTTAGTTTATTTATTTTTATATATTAAATGCCAAGTCATTCAAGCAACTATTGAATTACCTGTTATTTCTCAATTGCTAAACTTACAGGACTAAAAAACTCATTTTCCGTATTATATACATCAATTAGTATTAGTGAATATTACCTCCACCAGATTCAATAAGGAGTATATCCGCTTTATACAGATTGGAGAGCTCCTCCAAAGGGCCGAGATTAATGCTGATATCTTCTCGAATAGCTGCGTGTGGGCAGCCACCTGTTTCTACTGCTCGAATTCTTTCCTCGGGAAGTGCTCCATGCTTTACCAAGAATTCACCGTCTTCTTTTGTGAATATATCATTTGTAACCTACAATAATATTCAGCTCATTTTTATGCTACAACTAAAAAAAATCATAGGTTATAACGATAATCCCCTGTTAAAGAATCATAATGACGATTACTGAGAAAAAAAGAAGTTACGTAAATGCAACCACGTAAATGGTTAGGCAAAATCGGAAGAATAATTGGCAGTAGATATGAAGAGTTATGACTTATACATACAGCTGCAAGACTGTAGCGGTCTCTTAGATATTCGCACAAAGCCAACATCAAAGCCGTTTTTCTGCATAATAAGAAATTAGAAAAACATTTAGGAATAGTAAAATCCGAAATTGAGAAACAATAATTGCGGATGAACTCAGCATAATCATCTGAAATAACAAATATACATCGAATAATACTTCTCACAACACAGTAGAATCAAAATTTTATTTTATTAGCAAAAACCGACAAAATCAATTCACATAAGCAAATCAACAAACAGTTTCGCCGCACTAAGAGAAATCAATTCACAGAAGCAAATCAACAAACAGTTTCACTGCACTACGAGAAATCAACTCAAAGGAACAAAAACGATGAATAAACTACACGATTAAAAAAGAAAATACCCAGTGCCGACGGGTCCACCGATGCCAATAGTGAACGCCCGTTCGTTAAAATCCCGGTTCACAAGCGGAGGTGCTCTTCGGCTGAAGTAACCCGGCGATTCAATGGGCTCGTGTGAGTGTGGCGCCAGCCCATCGTGGCTATGGTACACCTTCCCGTCTGGTCCAACCCATGATTCCCTGTTGCATTTTCAAATTATAAACTAAAATCGAATCGCAATAATTTAAGGAAAAAAAAAGGAATTAAAATTCGAAAATTCTGGAGAACATAGTTATATAGTACTCATGAGTGTGATGGTGGTGGTGATGCTCATTTCCATGGCCATGATCATGGTCATGGTCAACGTGTTCATGGTGGTGGTGAGACGCCATTGAAGTAAATCTGCAAGGAGTTGGGGCAATTCAATTCAGATTCCAATCCAGATTCCAAGAATCAACTTAAACTAGACGAAGATGGTTGTTTTACGAAATTGCCCTTGGTTGACCATTGAATGCGGAGGGTAAAATGGGTAAGTAGTGCATACGGAATCTAATCATATTGTGTGATAACACTTGTTTATGGTTGACTTTTGCAGATTGTCGGTGCTAACTAGTGGTATAACTTCAATGTAAATTTCAATTATGTATCTTGAAATGTTGTAAGTTCGAGTGATAAATTGCATTCATTTAATGAAGTTTGAGTGATAAATTGCATTTTCATTTAATGAAGTGATAAATTTTCCCCAAATAAAAAATAGTGCAAACTACTATAGAAGGAAACGGGAAACTTTAGTTTTCCCCCCTCAAGTTTGCACATATATATTTCCCATTTCGTCTCTTGTGTTCATAAAAAACCCATTTGATCCCTCGTGTTTCAAAAATTCAATATTTTTAGTCATTTTCGTCAATTTTCCATTAGTACTAATAGAATCAAGCATGTGCCTATCCCCGCCTTAACTGACGGACTAATGGTAAATTGACATAAATAACTAAAATTGTTAAATTTTGAAACTGTAAAATCAGTGCAAACTTGGGGAATGAAACTGTGGAAAAGGTAATCAAAGAATGTAAAAAGAAATCCCATGAATTTTCAGATATTAAGGAAATAATTCCATTAATTAGAATTTTCTGAATTATTCATTACAACTTACATCTCTTTAAATCCCCAAAAAAAAAAAAAAAAAAAAAAAAAAAAAAAAAAAAAAAAAAAAGAGAGAGAGAGAGAGAGAGAGAGAGTACCCAAAATAAAATAAAAAATAAAAAAAATCAAGCCCTTTCATGTTAATTGAAATAGTTTATTTAGTGCATTGGTTCTTGAAAAATAAGTCCCAAGTGAATTACTTTTCCTGCATGGCTCATTCACAATCACAACATCCTTAACTTGTTTCTCCAATTGTGCTTGTGAATTCTCTGGATCACAGCCAGGTGAAATAATAATAACCCCTTGTCTTATAATATAATCCCATTTATCTTGAAAAAGATAGAAAATCGCCATGAAAGAAACTTGAGCTGCGAAAACTACGGTCCAAAGAGTCGTACTTTTCGATGTTCTCTTGCGGTAAGCCTGCAAACCCGTGTATACATTCAAGATTCCGACCAAGCAAATAGTTGTACCTAGTAGCCAGTGTAGCAAATACCATGCACTTCTTCCTCTACTTCCCCTGTAATAAATCAAAACGTTTTAAACGATTAAAACCCGAAAATAAAAAAAAAATAAAAAAGAAAAAAAACGGGATGTGTATCGGATTATTTCACCTCTTAGGCCTTCTAAATCCAATCAAAACTTGCAAATAAACGGCAGCGTAAAGTGCCAGCCCTATTCTTTGATGACTGTTGTCGAAAGCGTTCTCGAATTTTATCATTGATAGAACTGCTCCGACAGTAGTGATTACCACCGAGACGACCTTAAATTACAACCAAATGGTGATAAATTAATTAGTTGCTGATTAGTTATTTAATTTCTGCTGATCACTAAATTAAGTCTTGATTTTAATTAAAGAAGAACTTTTTAAGGGTTCAATCCCAGGCCATTAATAAAGGGTAACATGATTTTGTATAAAATGTAGAATAATGATTAGTCATAACACCATAGACTATAAAGGAACACAATGATTGCGATCACATTATAAAAATTAAAAAATTAAGAAGTTTTTTATTTTATTTTATTTAATTTGTAATTTGGTGTAGATGCATACCTGCAAAACTGCATGAACATAGATCAAGATTTTGTGCTTGGAAGGAGGAAAATCGGTGGTACTAGTCGAGATTCTCATCGTTAGGATTCCTATAGGCATCAATAATCCCATCGAAGCCCACAATAGGATTCCATGGACTTCGATTTCATATGTTTTCTGCGAATTTATCTGCAAAATTTATGCATTAGTAGACACGAAAAAAAAGAAAAAGAAAAAGGATAGGAGTGAACTTTCTAAAAAAATTGGTGATATTGAACATTACATGTTTTTCATCGATGCTGATTTTCGGATGATTCTTGGCTTCGCTCTGTTTGTATGATGAGCATTCAACAACTTGTAAGAGAAACGAAAGTGCCGTCAAACAAGAAATGCAGACAGGGGTCATCTTCTCAAACGAAAAAAAACCGACTTCTTCGAGATTTTTCGAGGTTGGAGAATTTAAAGGTGTTTCATTGATCTGTATTGATATTCTTGTTTCTGCATAAGTATTTCTAAGGTTGTAATGATGGTTTGTCCATTAATTGTCCTACTTTTTTCTTTTTAAGAGATTGTAATGGTTTTGCCTTTTTGACGTGGTATGCCTTTTAAATTTTAATCACACTTTCTCTATACAAAAGTAATCAATTAATCATATTTAATCTACATGGTAATCATACTTTCATTGCCTTAATTCTTGATTGATTATCCCTAATCCTACTCTTATTTTATTTTTCCTTATAAAATCGGCACTACGATTATACCACTATCGAAAAAGGAAACATACAAAATCATCGAAACAAATGAATGAAAACGATAACAACACAGTTTCTTAAAATAATCCTCGAAATCGAAGTCTGATAATAATAATCCAGGTAAACGAAAGCAAACATAAAATATATCCGTCCAACAAAACTGATAAAAGCACTTCAACGGAAATATAGTAAAACTGCGCCCCCCGAAAAAGGACAACATTTCTACATAAAGAGATTAGGCTTAGTTGCCTTGTAAGTGGTCTTGAGCTTCCTCGAGTGCGGCCTCACCTTTCGGTAGACCAACGGGAACTTGATCTTGGAGTTGTGGAACTGCTTAGTGCTCTCCCTCTTGCATAGCTTAGCTGGGATTGTGGCGGTTTTGATGATTTGGATGCAATGAGGACGAACCCTGTGACGAGATGCCATCTCGGTGTACATTTGCTCGACACCACCGTTCAATGTGGTGTCGCGGTACTCCTTGTACATGTTGTGGTAGCCTGTTCGACTCTGGTACCTTAGCCAGACTCCGAAGTTCTTGATTGTTGTGGGATTCTTCTCAAAAATCTAATTGAAGAAGAAAATAAAGATTATAATTTATTTGCAATGAAATATTTTGAAGGAAACAAAAAACCTTCGAAACTACAAATTACACGACGAGGACAAGAAAAACGAGAAATGGATAAGATTAGCAAAAATTAACAGTGCCTAATCAGATTCAATAACAAAGATGCCCCCTGAAAGCTTATTTCAATCAATGAGTTAAATATAAATTGTCCGAACATTCCGGGTGTAATTGCAGAAAGTTAACCAGCAGTTAAATATTTGTTTATATCTCTGTAAACACAATCCTAGAGGACTGAAACGACATCTTCTAATATCATTTCTAAAGCATGAAGCAGCGGTTTAGTGGTTTAGTTACTGATGAAAGTTCAAAATACTAACACAAAAGAGACAATTTACGAGGTTGTGTATATCTCTGTCATGAAATTAGTACACGTACAGTTGTATTTACAAGTTTCTGGGGATGAATCGAACCCAACAAATTCGAACCAAATAAAGATAGTTGACAATATTTCAGTTCCTTGTCGGTTTAACTTCGTATACAGTCGAGTTGAAATATTTATCTGAATGCACATTGATAAAACAGGAATATGAACCTAGGGGTAAAACATCGATATCGAATAGAAACAATCGAGTTTGCAGCAAATTTAGCACATCCAAAATCAAGTTTTATGACAGATATTGCAGTTTATGACTCTCGCACAACATAAAAACGAAGGAACGTAAACGACATACCTCGTTAATAGCAAGCATCTGACCATTGCTCTTCTTCACCTTCTTAAGCTTCCTCAAAAAGTACCTTCATAAAGAAAAAAAAATCATTCCGGCAACCTCTTCGGTACGTATAACCTATCAATCTTAATCCATAATTTATAACATTTTATCGTCATCCATTTGCTTCAAACCTCACAACTAATTGTTTCATCTAAACTATGCTTCAAATAGATTTCACCAATAGGATTCAGTAAAAAAAAAAAAATTACCAGCACTGCACTGAAAACATATCTTAACACACAAATCAACACGAAAGATTCTATCTTGTAAAATGAATCTATCTTTTTACTGATACAGATATAGAACACAGAAATGAAATTAAATTTACCAGAATTTGGATTTGGCGCGGACTTCATTGGTGGCCCACAGCTTCATACGGTAGATCTTCGGGTGTTCATCTTTCTCCGTCGGCAAAGCTCTTCCGACCACCTGGTACTGGTGGAACTGCAAATAGCAAAATACACGAAAATCGATCAAACTTTCAACATCGGAAACCTAATTCGTAAACAGAAGAAAAGTAAATTGACGATCCAGTGTAGAGAGAGAGAGGAGAGTGTTACCTTGTACGTCACCATTTTCGATTGTTCGGATTCTCTCTCCTCTGTTAGCGGGGGAGGGTGAGAGGCGTATGTAGGGTTTTTTTCCGGAAGCTGGGAGATTAGAAACCCTAGTTATTATGCATTTCTTCATTTGGGCTTTATTCTTAATCCGGGCCGAGTAATTGGGCTTTATTTACGGCCCAATTGCAAAATTCCTTTAATAAATTGACACTAGAGATTCGTATGTTAGTAATCCAGTTCTAGTTGAATTTAGTGGGCCCAGGAGTGGATGGTTTTTAAAAGCCCATATTCATACTGGCCCGTATCATATATTTTAAAATTATATATTATTAAATTTCTTATTAATACATTCTGAAGAAATAATGTATTTGTAAATATGTATATGGTAAAAAAAAAAGTTAAAAAAATAGGTCATGTCTCGATTGAAATCGAGCTTGAAATTAAAGATTGAAGATTCATCGTAAAGAGATTTTTAACTTAGAAACTCGTTTCGAATAGGTCGACAAAAACTATGTGGGTTCGGATTTTATTATCCGAATCGATTTACATTCAAACTTTAGATCAAGCAATGTAGAAATAAATCATATATTTTTTTTAGTAGCACCATATATGCCAATGTAAATTGTAAGGAAATCAAGTAAAATAACTTCATATTGTAGGATTTATACCATTTAGTAGCAATTATATATTTATAATAACAATCTAAAAGGAACGTGATATATGTTAATTAATTGCAATAAATTAAAACAGAAAAATTCAAATACAAGTCAAAGATCTTGCATGCAGGTAAAAGGATTTGCATGTTTGACACGTGGCGGGCGGCCCTGCATGCCTGCTGTTGAAACTGGGCATGCTAGTTAAAAGAATCACAGCTTCACATAATTAACTTGAAATGGACGAACAAAAGTGTCAAGTCTGTCGTTTTAGGCTTTGAATTAATGAGGATTAGGTTTATAATATTATATATTCAATAATACAAAATATATATATATATAATAACTTTAATTATTTCCAGCTGCGATTCTTGGGAAGGAGAGGCATTAGCTTTATATATAATTAATTTTTATGTAATAACAATTTCTAGGAGTTTCAGGCAAGTGGCAAACGACACAGTTTTAATGAAACATGTGCCGGACATGCAATAATCATGATTCTCACGCATGCATCAGTTATGCAATAATAACTTGGGTCTAAAAAAAAGTTATAAGTCTGATTTTCTCGTTCTTGAATTCATTACTGAAAAATAATAGAAATTTATTTGGCTCCAAATTGCATAAATATATGCATATGTGTGCGTAATACCTAATTAACTGCTATTCTTTTTTTTTTTTAATATATATTAAATAAAATATCGAGATATATAATTCAACAAAACATCATTTATCCAATATAATGAAATATTAATTACCAGGTTTCTAGAAGGCTCTTCATTTTATCTTTTAAATAATGAATTTTTTTTTAAGGAAATGCAATGTTATACTATTATATAGTTAGGTAGTTGACAAAAAGATAAATGATAATGAATGACATCATGTATTTTCAATTTGCAAAAACTGAAGAAAAAAAAAATAAGAACATAAAATATAACATGTGATCAGTTGAAAACATCCAAAAAATAAAACATTTCATTAAAATAATTAAAGTGCCTTGTAATTGGATAAACTAAAGTATTTAAGAAAGTTTAAAACGTTAATCAATTCAGCTTGTACTACTCACCCAATTATTGCCCACCCCACCACATCATTGGACAAGGACCAAACAACAACAATCCTTTCAACCTTTGTTATTAATTGTATTAATATTTTATTTAGTATAGCATTTGCAAGACTCTCTCTATAAACATTAGTCACAATTAAGGGGTGTGAACTAATTGAGTTTGGTTGTTTTGGCAGCTCGAGGTCGAGCTCGAATTCGATTCTATTTCGTCGAGATCGAGCTCGAGCACAAGCTTATTAAAGAAGATACTCGAGCCGGCTCGTCATGAGTTCACGAACAACTAAGATCAAGCTCAGCTTGTCAGGAAACTCGAGCTTTTTTCGAGCTAACTCATCGAGCTCAACTCAACTCGTTTACCACCCCAGTCACAATTCACACATTTTTGTCACGCATATTAAATATTAAAATTATTTATTCACATTATACTAACTTGTGTATAGTTCTATGTTTCAATGCATGACATGATGATTTTCATTGATAATATTCATTCAATAAGTGTGTGATATTTATGAAATTAAATATTGCTTAACTTATATCAGCAACAAGACAAATTGCCAGTTCAATGCCAACTAATTAACTCATTTTACAAGACACAATAATTTAACGAGACACAATAATTTTACAATAATAAAATATTCCACGCAGCAATATTCATTTTATTGATTTGAATAAACAATCCAAAAAAAACAAACCTGAAAACATTTAATTAACATTACATCAATAAATCCCCCACACTATCAATAAATGAACTTGATTAATCATCAAAAGTTCAAAACAATATACACTTCTTTTCCTTTAGGTGCATTGACAATTAAACCCCCAACAAAAGATTCGAACACAAAGGGCAATTCCGTCACGACAGTGAAGGAAATCGCCTACATCTCTGCGAAAGAAAAACCCTGCAATCGTCCTTAGGTACAATAGTCGGCACATAAGTGATTTCATCGCAGCCGTCCGTTCTATCCCTTTTAAAATCAACCAACGTGGCAAACATCGCAATGAACAACATCAGGTGATTAATCGCATACCTTTGGCCCACACACTGGTGGGCCCCAGCCCCAAATGCAAGGAAGTTCTTTTTGTAAACCCGGTCCTCCTGCCTATCTTCCATGAACCGGTCCGGGTCGAACCGGTCCGGTTCGGTAAACCCTTGAAAAGACGAGTCAAAAACAGAAGGAAAGACGATTGTGCCCTTCGGAATAACGTAATTTTCGGTCAACGGGAAATCGACGCCGGCAATATGGGGAACCATAGTCGCGGGTGCTCTGATCCTCACAACCTCACGCGCCACAGCCTCCGTGTACTTCATTTGCCGCAGATGGTCGCCTGTTAAAACGGCGTCGTTTTCCGGCGACCAATATTCCGCCACCTCTTTCCTCACCCTCTCCAGAATTTTCGGATGCGATTCCAGATAAACAATCGCCCACAGTAGAGAAGAAGTCGATGCGTCTTGTGAAGCGAACAGAAAGTCAAACAAATGGCCGCCGATTTCTCTGTGTCTGTGTGTCTTCTTCTCCGGCAACTCCGACAAATTTTCCTGCATCCAAAAGTCAATCAAGCACGTGGGTTCCTCCCCAGATTCCACCTTCTTCTCGCTCTCCTCCACGCAGCCGGAGAGCGTATCCACGAGCCTCTGAACAGCTGAAGCCGCGTTCCGGAAAGCAAACCCCGGAAAATCAATCGGGAGCTTCATCAAGCCGACGTTGAAGAAATTGTAGTCAACGTTGAACCTCGTACGCGACTCCCCGTCCAAGTACGGCCCGACGAAGACCGTCTGCGAGGTTTCCAAATTCATGTCGCGGCAGAGTGTGCGCAGCGGGATTGAAAACTCCCCTCTCGATTTCTCGACCCAGCACACCAGGTGTTTGATAATAATCCTCTGTTGGATATTGGTGTAAATCTGCAACGCCTTGGGCGTGAAATTGGGCGCAATCTGGCGGCGCAAGTCCTTGTGATCCTGGCCGAACATGTATATCAAATTGTGCTCGCCGAAGAGCTTCTTCCCGAAGGGGTGGCCGACGAGGTGGAAAGCATCTGGCCGGACGTTGGAGAAGATCTTGTGGGAAAGATCGGTGGAGTAAACGTAGACGATGTATCGTCCAATGATATAGTTGGCGGAGATTCCTAAAGGTGTGGACTTTGCGTACGAGGATTGTAAGTCCCAGAATTTGGTCGGGTTTCTGACCAAGGAAACGGCGTTGCCGATGAATGGTAGAACAAGTGTTGGGCCTGGCAAGAAACGTTTTTTCTTGAGGTATGAGATTTGTTCGAAGAGGAGAAGAAGAGCTAACGTGGTGATTAAGTATGGTATGTATGGTGTGATAATTATTCTCCATGCAAGCTCCATTTTTTGCACTGTGATTTTCTTCTTCTTGATCTGAACTAAATTTGCAGGTAATGAATAATCAAGAAAGTTAAAAGGGGTGTGATATTATATGATATGGTATTTGTCAATACAGGCAACTGCAAAAGTTCTTGATTCTTGGAAGAGTGGTAAAAAGTGGAGACCAAATCTGAATTTTATTTGCAGTGGGGTTGGGGGTGGGGGGTGGCTTTATATTGTTCAGCTTTGAAGATTGGACAGTCAGAAAATCAGATTTTCAGTGACTAATCAACCCATTAAAAAGGAGTAATCTTTTTTTTTTGTTTTTACATGAGAAAATGTGTTGCCTTTTTTGTTACACAACGATGTAATAAGATTTAGTGTAACTTCCACTTTTACCTATGTATTTTGGCTCGATATTACTTTATATTATGATGCCTCTTTTTTGTTGTTTTAATAATTATTTAAACTGAGGGAGGTGTTGTTTTGGTAATTTCAGAGCTTAGATCAAACAATGTTAAGGTCAAATGTCTGACAAATAACAACGAGAGTCGCATTAAGACAAATTTTCAAATACAGAAGGGCAAATCAATAGAATCGAGAGTAGAAATGAGTAAAGTGATCCCGAACCAAAGTACAAGGGGGAAATTGTAATTTACCCTAAATTTTACATGCCAAATGTGGTTTGAGGTGGGGTTGAAATGAAGCTGGGGCATGTGATAGAACAGATAAAGTGATGTCTAAAGACTGTTAACCTCTTCCTACAAGACAACCACGTGAGTATTGTTGCCCTTTTGTTTTGCAACATTAATTTCCTATAATATATAAAATAAAATAAAAGTTGAAGGGTAAATTAGTAAATTGCTATTTAGTAGCAGAAGGTTAAATTAGTAAATTGCATTTAATAGGTTTCGAGGGAATCAAATCAAATACAATTTGAATATTAGAATCTAGCACACAGTATTCTCTATTGTGGTAGTATAGAAGCTATTGACATGTTTGCTTTTGCTGAATAATCAATTTCCTAATTGCTCGTTGACTATTTACTTTTCTAATTCTCCTAAATTAAATTATCCCCCTTGAATATATCTGGATGAAGAATCAATGCGTCACTTAATCCAAGTTAGTAAGATACTCCATCTTTTAATTAATTAATTAATTAATCAATTAATTAATTAAGCCGTGCACTTCTGATTGGCAATGGGAATTGCAACTGAAACTAATTTTATCACAAAAAATAAATCATATTGCTTTCTATCATAGCTTTGATGCATAATATATGTCGATAAATACAATTTTCCAAGATCATTAGTTTTTTATTACAATTACGAAACATACAACTAATCCTATCCTATTAACAAATTAAGTATGCCCCGTCAGCTTCTTGATTAGCTTTATCCTTTTTAAATCAAGTAGTGCAAGCGATTTAAGTTTCCAAAATACATGGAAATTTTTCGAATCGTATACGAAATTCGAAAAATTCCAATTATTTGTAACCTAAGAATAAAATTCATAAATAATATTGATATTACAAATGTAATTTTCAAAAGATTTTTATTTTTCATTATTTTCGTTGGCGGCTGTTATTTGCTAATTGCCCCTAAAATGAAGCTATTATACCAGTTGTTTATTTGCTAACTGTCTTTAAATGAAGTTATTACCGTTAATTACCGAATTAAGACCCACTTTCTTGAAAGGAATCCATCCATACGTCAGTCCAGAAAAGCACTCCATTTAATTAATGGCTTAATTTCACTTTGCACCCTCGAAATATAACATTTTGGCACTTTGCACCCTCGAAAAATAATAATAGCACTTTGCACCCTCAAAACACAATAAATCATTCACAATGCACCCCCAATTGAATAATAAAGGTAATTTCATTTTTCATTGGTGTTTTTTTTTTCGGGGTACAAAATAAAAAAAATATTTTTTTCTTCAACCTCAAACCTAATTTCGAGCGGACAAAGTGCGAAAAATAGAAATTACACATGATTATTTAAAAAAAAATTCATTTTCTTACAAAAGAAAAATAAATAAATAAACTTTTATCACTAAATTATTCGATTGATGGATCTTTTATGTAACTGTTTGAAAATATTAAGTGAAAATATTTGGAAGAAAATATGATTTTCAGATAACTTGATAACGGAGTAGCTGAATGATTTTTTTCGTAAAATATTTTATGTTGATAAAAAAATATATTTTTTTAAATATGTTGATGAAATGTATTTTTATTTTTGAACTTCATAGTTTCAAAATGATTGATGAAGAAAAAAATATTTGACATTTGGTGTCCTAAAAAAATATCACTAGAAATATTATATTTATATTTTTTAGCTTTAAAAATTCATTTGGTGTGCATTATGGATGATTTATTGTATTTCAAGGGTGCAAAGTGCTATTAATTTATTTCGAGGGTGCAAAGTGCCAAAATGGTATACTTCAAGGGTGCAAAGTGGAATTAAGCCTTTAATTAATTTATTATTTATGTCATGCATTTCGCATTGGCAATAGGCCCATATACAATGACATAAATTAATATTTTTATTTATTTATTATAATAATGACGTGGCATACAACTAATCTAACAATGAAGTTAAGTTCTAGAATAGCCTGCCAGCATTCTTAATTACGCACCTATTTAAGGGCATTTAAGACATTTTGCAGTAAAATAAAAAGGATTCTTTAGACATTTCTTACACAGATGAGCTGGATTATATTTTATTCAAAATGGGCCGTATTATAGAATCTATCAAGCCATATAAACAAAAAAAATTAAATATAAAATAAAATAAATAAATATCAATTTTCAAAAAACACTTAAATGCTTACCTTTTAAATTGCCAACTGTTATTTTATGACTCAAATCCACGTGTACCATAATGCATGTTTATCCACATCATCAAGCTCGAAAAGTGAACTGTAAAATGCAAAAGGTGGAAAAATTAATCATACTTGTAACATGTAATACTTCTGATTCTAGTGTCTTGTTCTCTTTTTGCACAAAAAGTAGATGTAGGTAATACATATCGAACTACTATAAATCTTCGTGTTTTTTACTGTTTTATTGCTTTCATTTGATATGTGCATCTGGTTCAACTGTCGCAGCAGTTCGTAGTGTCCGATTAGTTTTGTTTGTTATGCGACTTAAATTCACAACACCAACGAAAAATAAGCACTTAAAAATCCAAAATCCTTAAAATGCAACATAAACATAGTAAAAACTTGGTTTAATAATTTAATTACATACTCTCCCAAACTAAACCAAAACCATAATCACCACCAATTGGCACAACAAAAGCAAGACCAACCCAATCCTAGTCACGACCGAACCAGATTGTTCGACTCTGACATCATCAATCACGGGCCCACACAACGAACTCATGTCATCGCTCCTCGTATTATAATAAACGCTGTAAAACGCAACCCTAGTCCTCTCGGCCTTTGCACTAAAATTCAGATTCACCGTCTGAAAAGTCGAATTCGAATTAGGACTATAGTGTGTGTTCTGAGCTTGATCGCCCGCAAATGCCATCACAGCCAAAGGCTGCTTGCACGAGTCCGATGCGTGGCCCAACGAGAAAGTCAAACTATAGGTCTTGTCTGGCTTCGTTTGGACCATTTGAGATATTATGCCTTCTTTTCCAGAGAGAAGCTCGACTGCCCTTTTGCCACCTGGCACTGAGTAATGATACGAGTCTATGTATCGAACGGCTCTGTTTGATTCGACTATCCAGCCTGGCAGAGAAGATATGTCTTCGTCAAGATTTGTGGGGAGAAGTACACCGAGTGACTCGTTTCTGAACATCCATGGGCCTTCTTCGAAATCTCCGTTCACTACTGCGTTATCTGCATTAATCCCTACAGTGTTTAGGCCTTGTTTGGTTGAAAATATGAGCTATTGTCAACAACCTCTTCTTATACGACAATTTTAAAAACATCGAATAAAAGATGATCATATATTACCTTAACACGTTGCAGTGTAATTTCTCTGAAAAAAAATTCTCGAAAAAAACACACGTTGTAGTGTAACTCGAATTCAAGAACTATCACTAAAGCTTATCGCCTAACTCGAAGATAAAAAAATGTCGACAATGACTTTTTATACGACAATTTAAAAAACATTATAGTAAAAGACCATCATATATACCTTAATTAATACATTCTAGTATAATTTCAAATTCAAGAACTATCACTATAACTTAGCCTAAGTGGTATTAAAGCCTTATGTTCATGTATTGTCAAGTTAATAATACGGCCATTTCTCATAAATAATTAAATACGGAAAAATTACAGTTTTCACCCCTCAAGTTTGCACTGATTCCACATTTGACCCCCTAGGTTCACAAAAAATACATTTGGTCCATCGTGTTTCAATAATTTAACATTTTTGGTCATCTCCGTCAATTTAACATGAGTCCGTCGGTTAGGATAGTGATAAAGTACACGTTTGATTCCGTCAGTAGTAACGGAAAATTGACGGAAATGACTAAAAGTGTTGATTTTTTAAAACATGAGGGATCATATTTGTTTTTTGTGAACATGAAGGACCACACGTGGAATCGGTGCAAATTTAGCGGACAAAAACCGTATTCTTCCAAGATAAATGGGCCAAGAGGCCCAAAGACTAACCTTTGGGCTTAACCGGAACAAAGAGCTTCTTAATAGCCACGTCATCAATGATGGGCCCACAGGTGGGGTCGTCCTCCATACCGGGATTTCTAAAGACCACCGCCACGTCATCCTCACGCGCCTGAAAAGCCCAGGCGTACGAATCCCAGCCCTGGACGCTGTACAGCGTCTGCAGATCGATGGTCTGCGACGCAGGCGGGACCGACACGTTGAGTGACTCTAGCTGGGCGCACGTGCGGGCCGCGCTGAACGTGACGGAGTAGAGAGACCCCTTCTCCGCCTTCACCTGCTGCCTGATCTCGGCGTCGTTCCCCAGCCGCACCGCGCGTCCCCCCTGCGGCACGATGAGTATCATCCCGCCCTGTTTCTGCCCGGACTCCACCACCTCCACCGTGCCGTTCGTTTTCCAGCCGGGGATCTCCGCGGCGCCGTCGGAAACTCCGCCGCCTGAAGAGGAGCCGCCGGTTGGTGGGGTTTCAAAATCGCCATTCACAAGCGCGCCTGCAATCGATAGGTATTTTAATTTGTCATTAGTTATTAAAAATGGTGGGGCCAAGGGCATTGAAGGAGAGAAGACCGTAATTATTGCATAGCAGAATAAAGAACAATAATACAATCATGTTTTCCCAAATTGATTTAGCTAATATTGATGAATACATTAATTAATAATTGTTGGATCTTAATTATTTGCAGTGTCACATATTTATGTAATTAAACAAAATGTTGATATAATTACTTGAAATTAGAGCATGCTTAGCAAGTGATAGAGCAGCGAATTCAACTTCTCAGATCCATGAGAGAGAGAGAGAGAGAGAGAGAGAGAGAGAGAGAGAGAGAGAGTACCATCTTCAACTAGTGCAGCAGATGAGAAAGCTAAGAGAAAGGCAAACACCGACAGTGAGAACCAAAGGCATTTCGGTGAGCTCAAAACCATCTTAAAATGCCAAACACTCCCTTAACTTTCTCTCTCTAAAAACCAGTGTGTGGTGTGTGTTTGTGTGAGTGATGAGTGCAGTACTACAGTTCAGTTCTTGTATAGAGAGAGAGAGAGAGAGAGAGAGAGAAAGTAATAGAGAGAGTGGTGTAGAGTGTAGACAGTAGAGAGAGGAATTGTACTTTAATCCAAGATTCGAGCTGGCTGTTCATTAATGGTTCTCACTCTAATAATTAAGCTACAAAATGCAAATGTTTAATTGGGAAATCATAGGAAAATCTGCAAAATAAACCCCCACTAACCAAACATTAACCGCCCTTCCAAATTGGCGGTTCCGCAAAGCGGGATTATAAAGGAGTTTAAAAAAATCTGTAGCCTTGAATCAAAATTGTGCTGACACTAATTTGGTGGTTAATCAACTTAATCTTAATTTTTTTTCAATTAACAATAAATAATAATAGTACAGATAAATAATAATTCTACATTTTGGTGGGGCCCATCGCCGCGTAGATCTTTTGCACAGTACAAAGTAAAGAAGTAAAAGCAGCACGCGGCGGCTTTAACAAAAAAAAAAATTTGAATAAAGTAGGTAAGAACGGAATATGATTACTTGGACTTTTAATCGTAGATTACACGATCCACGAGGCAGGCCAAAGTTCTCTCTAATTGCACTGTTAAAAAAAAATTTAAAAAAATAATCTTTTTGTGTGACACAATGTGAAAATTTGACACAAATAAAAAGAACCTAAAGCGAAAAAAAAGTATACAAAAATGCCTCGATATTGCTTACATTAAGAATATGTGCCTTTTTCTGGTTCTATCTACAATTTATCTATTTTTTAATTGAGTTTTGTAATTTATTAAAATAAACAAATAATACTAGGATTTAGTGCACGTACACAAAAAAATGTTAGGACTAGCTAGTGATTATTTGGGCTTTGTAATTTAAATATAAGTGGGCTTTTTTAGTTGGGGCTTTTGTTACACAAGCATTGTCAGTTATTCATCCAGTATGGGCTTAGCTACCGAATTAATAGTTTTAGGCCCGTTATTCTTTATATTAAATCAGTAATTTTTTGCAATAAAATTTTGTGAAATTTCGAGTGAGAATGTGTGTAATGCTAAGCCATCACATTTATCCCATGTCACCTATAAATAGTTGAATGGAATTTCTGCATTCCGAGTGGACACCAAAATAAAAAAAAGCTGCCCAAAAAAAAAACACTAAATTCCATTGGAAACTCGATGAATATTTTGAACGAGGAAGATTTGTACTACATAAAACGAAACATAAATCTTGATTACTTAATCCCCGGCCATAATTAGTATAATCCTTAGTAGATGGGATTGTTGCATTAATCCTAGGACACTGCTATTTTCCCACAATACAAACATCTTTTCTGATTCACCACTCATATTATTGTGGCGCGAGTTTTCAGGCTTTTCATGCATGGTTGAATATATATTGTGATATTCTATTGTTGCAATATCATAGAAATCATTGCAACTTTGTCTTTTATTTTTGGGTCAAATTCCATTATATTAGGGTTTATTCGATCCTACACCCTATGAAATACACCAGATCTTAAGCACAACTTTTAGCCGAGAAATCTGCAACCATATTAATAAGCTCGATAGCAAAAAGGATGACGATTTAATCAATAGTCAATATTTTCCACGACTACCTAAAAAAAATTAACTAAATAAATTAAAACACATTAGGGAAATGGCCCGCCATTCTATCCTTGAATGTGTTTCTTCGTTTATGAATGTTCACGTGTTTTCAACAATTTAGAAATATCTCAAATAAATAATCAAGATAATCGATATCATCACACTGGCTCTGAAAATTCTTGGAACATTTAGTTTTTCGGGTACAATCATTGCGAAAATTTGGTATCTTGACAAAGACCACTGCTGTATTTTGCGAATTTCACCCTTTTCATGTCCAAATGCTTGTACCGTATTACTCTGGCAAATGCGTCTCGTTGTTTGCATTCTTACAAAGTTCTTTATTAAATCTAGCAATAATAATAGCAAGAAAGATGTCGATGAAAATATTGCAGTAATTAACAATAGAGGACCACAGGGCCATGTTTGGCTACATCAATGACAAAGACCAATCGAATTTTTGCCCCATTCTTCAATTACTAGTTAAACACCAGACCCCAATTCCTTGACATACTTTCTGTCTTTGTGTATCAAGCAGGAAATATTCCTTATTTTTCGCTTTCGTTTGCATATTCATAGATTTCGCTGCGAGAATGTAGGTTTTGTGTTATAGAAATAGAAAATCAAGATTTTTTTTTTATAATTTACAAATTTCACTAATTGAATTATGCCGATCATAAGAAATTAAGAATTCATGCATTATCATAAACAAGTTATTAAAAAAAAAAAAAAAAAAAAAACTCTACAAATTGAAAGTGGTGACTAATCAAGTGGGAAAAATCAATACCAGATAAGTAGCATTTTGCTACCACCATGAACAACTGTGGCGCATGAAAGCCACTCCTCATCAAATGAAATGACCCCAAGAGCATGGTAATAAGTAATAACTTGTCGGACCTCACGCGCAATCAGTTGTCCTAAAACTAATTGGTGTTTGAAAATACGCAAACCCTAGTCTTAATTGTGCCCCACCCATTACCAGCCCTAACGTGGAAAATTGCTGCTAAATTCTTATTCAGGCTAGCTTAACCTAACTTAAATATGATCGAGGTAATATGGGAAATTATGCAGTCCTACGAAAAACGTAAAATATTCTCCGATTTTTTAGACGTAAATAATATTTTCGTGTTTGTTTTATCGTAACGAAACAACAAATATTCAATGCCATTGATGCATTTAGATCATTATTATAAGCATGATTATTTGCACGAAGGCACATGGGGTAAATGTGTATAATATAGGTTGGTAAAAATACACGGATGGGGGTGGAAAACTAGTCAGGTGATAGTTGAGCACCAATTCTGTGAGAGTACAATCACGTTATAATTATGTACAACCACATTTTAATACCCACACTCGAAAAGCTGATTAATTTTTTTTCAAGAACCCAATTATTCTGGTCACGAAAAAGGTTGTTTGATTGAATTAATGCAAGTATGTCTTAAAAAAAGGGTCAATTGCAACCGCCCTTGATATAAGATCTATTTACGAAAAGAACCCTCATTTTTCCATAATTACATACACTCCCTGCATTATATATACTTTTTACATTAACACTCTTTTGTAGGGTAGGGGATGGATGTAAGAAATTTAAAAGTTGTAGGGAGTGGATGTAGTTTCTCAAAAAGAAGGGGTCTTTTTGTAAGTAGATTTTACCTCAGGGAGGTAAGTGTAATTTACCCAAAAAATTAATGCAAGTAGAGCATCATCGTACCTTCAATTTAAGTGTGGAATAACACAAATAAAAATGGAAACTAAAATTCAGCAGAAAGGGATGAAATTGAAAAGTAACAGCCAGACAATTAACAGAACTCAATGTTCACACAAAATAATAAGGGTGGATAATTTAACCCCGTCATAATTCTTTGTTCTAGCTCCACCTGAAATGCACGTATACGTTTACCCAGTGCACTTATATAGTTCGAATTCGACAATATAACAACTGAAAATTGCTCAATTTAACGCAACTTTGAAAAAAAAAATCAAGTTCAATATTTACATGTGGTGAATAACAAAGTAATGCAATCTAATTCACAATAAAAAGATCATGTTTGTAGTTTTCAGGAAGAGTATATCAATTTCACCACAATCAGCAAATTATGCCAATTAAAGGAAACAACAAAAAGGAATAGACAAAAAAATCCCAGTGCCATTACACTTCACCTTTAAACAAAAAATATCAGATTTTCCACGATAGCGCAAGAAATCAATCAAAAAAAAAACGGCCTATAAAAAATTCATATCGAACGAAATACAGGATAGAGGGCGGTTCGATATATGGCCGCAATCCACTTCGTAATTTATATGGCTATGATTGCTTACAAATAATACATATACGAACAACATCAAAATTCTCGTGGCTAATTTACTAGAGGGAACAGATAAAAGCAAAGATAGTTGAAACTGAAAAGAGTTTTTATCATTTCGAATAATTCTATATCTATGTTAGATCGGGATCATTTTTCGATTCTTAAACAATTTCGGAAAAATATATAAATAAAACTAACCCCAACAAACTATGAAACTAAAGGTCCATGTGGAGTCCATAACAGAGACCTTCCAGCCAATTCTCTACCACACTTGTTGGCTCATTTCAAGAATTCGAACAAATTTAACCATCACCAAACCCTGGTCCTAAAATGTGTAATGCATGTAATATGTTTCCTATATTTATCGATGACGGAGCATTCCTCTATGTTCATCTTTCTCTTGAAAAATCTCTGCAATTTCTTTTTTCCTTTGACAGAACTTATGCTGTCTGCCATTTCGACTTCCGTGTCCGTTCAAAACATAATCCGTTCTTAAATCTTTTAAAATCTTTTCTGGTAGTGCCGTTAATGACAGATCAGCTGCACAGTCCTTCAGATTACACTCATAAAAGAATTATCTCGAGGGTCCATTGTTGTTATATATATATACCTTCAATTCCAAACTTCCTAGTATGAAACAAAAAAAGAACCTTAACAAACTCAAGATGTCTTTTTCATTCTTGAAAAACTTTCGAGGAATCGACAGTGGCTTCCTCTCTAACGATCTGCTTCCACCCTTAGGAACTAGAATGAATCGAGCGACAAAGCTTCGGAGACAAATAGTTTCCCCGTTAAATCCATGTTATAGGTAATGACATCTCTGTACTCGAGAGTACACTATAATATAGAAAACCACTAATTCTGATTCTCTTTGTCATTTTTTACTTCTTTTTTTTATCAGGGCATGGGAGATTTTTCTACTTCTCCTAGTCATATATTCTGCCTGGATATCTCCGTTCCAGTTTGCGTTTCTAACTTACAAGCAAGATTCTCTGTTCATAGCTGACAACATTATCAACAGCTTCTTCGCTGCCGACATTTTTCTCACATTCTTTGTGGCATATGTTGACCCTAGGTCATATCTTCTAATTGATGATCCCAAGAAAATAGCAATAAGGTAATAGTATCCGTTAGCAATAAAAACAAGATTTGCTCGAGGAGCTAAGAATAAATTTGATACTAAATTATTTCCCCGTGCCATATATATATTCGACTAATAGGTATCTATCGACATGGTTCGCTTTTGACGTCTGCTCTACAATACCGTTTCAATCTCTAAGCATCATCTTCACAGATCACAATGGTGGATTAGGGTTTAACTTGCTGAGTATGCTACGACTTTGGCGACTCAGACGAGTTAGCTCACTCTTTGCAAGGTGCAAAACCAATCCGAATTAAGCTTCTTTTTTTTATTACTTGAAAAAACTGACTTATTATGTTTCAGGCTCGAAAAGGACATTCGGTTTAACTATTTCTGGACTCGCTTCACAAAACTCGTATCTGTAAGAGTCGTCGCCTCATATTTATTCCATTCAGCACTCCTGTGTTTACTTACTATAATTATTAAAAACTCCAAGTGTTTTCAGTATTAGCAAAAACGCCCTATAATGCATTTTTTTAGCAAACTAACCTAAAACCTCACCATTTATGTGCTAACACAAATGCGTCATAGGGTTTGTTTGCTAATATTTACAACACGAGGGTTTTTTTAGCAATTTAGTATAACACAGGGGTACTAAATGAAATGAACTCCTAAAACTCGTGGTCTAAAAAAATTCTCATGAGTGAGTTTCAGGTGACGTTGTTTGCTGTTCATTGTGCGGGGTGCTTCAACTATATGATCGCTGAGAGATACGGGAATTCGAAAAGAACATGGATTGGTGCTGTCTATCCTAATTTTAAACAAATGAAAGTATGGGATAAATATGTGACTGCTTTATATTGGTCGATTGTAACCTTAACTACAACAGGTTACGGGGATTTGCATGCTGAAAACACGAGAGAGATGCTCTTTGAGATGATGTACATGCTTTTCAATCTCGGGTTGACTTCTTATCTTATAGGAAACATGACAAATCTCGTGGTGCATTGGACCTGCAGCACCAGAAATTTCGTATGTCACCTCCCTCTCTCTTTCTCTCTCTAGAAATTTACTATAACTCATTAGCTAATATAAGGGAAACTTGTAGAGAGATAATATCACGGCTGCTTCCGAATATGCAAGAAGGAACCAATTGCCATCGAATATTCAAGATCAAGTCTTATCTCACATATGTCTGAAATTCAAAACACAAGGATTGAGACAACAAGAAATGATGAATGGGCTGCCAAAAGCCATTCGTACCAGCATTGCAAATTATCTGTTTTATACCATTGTTCAAAATGTCCATCTCTTCCATGGGGTTTCCGAAGACCTCCTTCTCCAACTGGTGCGTTTTTTTTCCTACTTCAATTTTTTTAATACAATGTACAAATCACTTCTCTCGTAAAAGATATATATTTTAAAATACTATATATTACTTTCAATTGGAAGGTTCCGGAAATGCAAGCCGAGTACTACTCTCCAAGAGAAGATGTGATTCTGCAAAACGAGGCTTCGACAGATGCGTACATATTGGTTTCAGGGGCTGTGGTAAGTTAAGCTACTCTCACTCGAAGGGCGTGCAATGAAAACTTATTTAGACGTCACAATTTTTTGCTTTTTTGGCAGGATTATATCGCAAAGATTAACGGGCAAGATCAAGTAAGATTTCTACATCAGCGCCTACATAACTATTTACCTGTAGATAGAAACAAAGGATAATAGTATATTATATATATCATCCCGTTTTTTCTATATACACACAGATCATTGGAAAGGCTTCTACAGGGGAAATGTTCGGAGAAATTGGGGTTTTATGTGGAAAGTCACAGCCGTTTGGTGTTCGAACAACTGAGGTTTCTCAAATGCTAAGGATGAGCAAGGCCACATTTCTGAACATTCTACGGTCGAAACCAGAAGATGAACTCACTGTTATGAACAATCTTTTCAAGGTGAATTAGCATGCCCCTTTGTTTTTTTTTCCAGACATCCTTAATTTTTGAAAATTCGAACTAAATAATACTTTTTTTTTTTGACTCGAAGAAAATGAAAGTATGGAGGAGTTTCGACATTGAGGGCCAACAGGATCCAAGCCTTATCCTAAAAAAATGGCTTCACGGGAAACCTAAAGGAGACTGCACAAGTTGCAATAATGATAATCTCTACGGACACACTTTGAAACAGGAATCAACGGTAGATATTTCGAATGAAATCATGCTAAATAATGAGAATGAAAATAAATTAAATGGGGCACATGAATCAGTTGCAAATCGATACGGAAAAGGCTCGTACGCCAGCTCAAGCAGTACCGCATTTTCAAAAAGGGGAGAAGCAATAAAATCGGATAAGAGAGTCACCATTCACGCGAATTTTCGCGAAAAGCAGATTCCAAAGCTAATAATTCTACCTCACTCGCTAGAAGAGCTGCTCAAGATAGCAGGTATGTTAATGTTCTGAACTCTTTTTGGCAGATTTAAAAATTTGCGCAAAAAAAAATATAAGCCCAAAACTTAACCGTAGATTCAAAGAAGGAATATTCGGAAAATAATAAAGGACGAAAAAAATGCACTAACCGTTGTGATCATCTCTTCCATCTCATACTGCAGGTGAAAAATTCGGAGACGGCAGTCTTACGAAATTAGTAAACGCAGAGAATGCAGAGATTGATGATATAAGCGTGATACGAGATGGTGATCATTTGTTCTTTTCCTCCGAAAGACTGTCGGAATAATGTGTAGAATAAGATGTGAGCTAACATTTAACAAGCTCTATATTATGGAAATGGATAAATTAAAATTAGGTAATTCAAAGCAATTTTTGCTGATATTTTTACAGATACTACACCAACCAAATCCATGAATTTTCTGAAGAAACAACAAATAATCATAGGAAAAACTGTCAATACGATTGGATTGCAGCAGTTTATTCTCAATTTCTCATAATTATCAATACGCAATATCGAAATACTGATGAACACTAATTTTAGGGGGAAAACAGAAAACACACACACACACACACACACACACACACACACAAGCCGCAAAATTCATAGCGAACCTTACTGAGAGAGAGCTGGTGAAGCTTTGAAAATGGCGGCGATTTTTCGGCATGATCTTTGATTCGAGCTCAATTAAGCAAAATTATACACAGCGCTAGGGTTTTGAATCTCATTTCATTGTGGATGATTGCTTCATTGTAGTTACTTTTGTTATCAGATTATGCCCTAAAATTCAAATCGTGTTATGGGGCTAATTTTCTGTTTTAAGACTAATAAAATTCAAATTAGAACGACAATATTACATTATTGACCCGACCCGAGTAGAGAAGTCACCCACACACATAAAAAAGAAGTACTAAAAGCGTGTTGTTGGTATTATATAATAGAGTAAACTGCAAAAAGTACCCCTGTGAAATTTCAAACTAGCAAAAACCCCCCTATGATAAATAAACTAGCAAAAACCCCCCTATGAAAATTTGTTAAAGGCAAAAACCCCCCTAGTGCATTTTCGTGTTGCACACTCGCCGAGTGTGCAGCTGGTGACGAATTTTTAGATCTGAAATTACATAATTACCCCCCAAATTTTATTACTATGTAATTTCATGATTTTTCCGAAAAATCCTACACAAAACCTTAATCTCCATCTTCCCGACTTCAATTCGACCAGCGTCCTCCCACTACCGCAGCACAGCCTCCACATCGGCTGCTCCGCTGTGCTGCTCTACCATAGCCGTCGCGCAAAGTCCAGGCTCGATCACTTCGTGAGGACGAACAAGGGCGCTGACGATCGGAGGAGCTTCCAGAAATTGGGGGACCTGGGAAGCCCTCTTCGGCGGCGGCGGCAATTGGAGCCTAGCGGAGCCCTACAACCCCGATTACAAACTGGCGTTCGAGCCTTTCTTCTTGTGTTCGTGTTCAACGGATTTTGTGGATTTTCTTTTTGTGTTGTTGCAAGGTTTGCAGAAACTAGCTTCTTTACCACTGTTTTTAATTTTTGTTTGTTTGTTTTGGATCTTGAAAAAAAAAATAGATAGAATTTTCTAGTTTGTTTTTGCTGGTTGGGATTGAATAATTAAGTGGAGACGATGGTGGTGGTTGTGGAGATGGCATCGGGATTCAATCGTTGAAGATGATGATGATTCGATTTATCTTTTTTTTTTTTTTTTTTTTTTTTTTTTGATTTTCTTGATTTTTTCTGATTATTAAAAATTTAGTATACAAATTAAATGGAAATATTATATTAAAAAAAATCGTCCATAAACATATACATAATATTGTAATTTTTTTTTTCTTTTACATAATTTAGTGTAGGAATAATTTAAAAGTTATAAAGAAATTATATGATAATTTTAAAAATAAAAAAACCCCTTTCCATTTTTTTAAATACAAGATATAACAAAAATAAAATTAGTTTTTTTATCAGTAATAAAAAAATAAAATAGTTAGAACATTAGAAAATAAGAATTTAAATATCTCATTTGTGCTTTTTTTAATACTATAAAAATAGATATTTCACAGGGTTTTTTTTGTCAATTTACACAAGGTCAGCCCTTAAATTGGTAGTGGGTCAAGTGTGCTATTTAAAAAAAAACACAGAGGGGTTTTTGCTAGTTTATTTATCATAGGGGGGTTTTTGCTAGTTTGAGATTACACAGGGGTACCTTTTGCAGTTTACTCTATATAATATCAAAAACAAAAATTTAATTAAAAAAAGAAAAAGAAAAAACGTTGTTCTGCATGGTCACGCACATATAAAGCGCGTGTTATTAATCATCTGTTCCACATAAGTCGTCATTTGGTGGCACTCCCGGCATCTTCAAGTTCAAAAGCGGAGATCGGATGCGCGCGTGACAAGCCAACTGCGGACGTGAACTTGACCATGTCAGCGGCCGGAGCTCTGACGAGTATGTCGTAAACAGCCACCGGAATCATCATCTCCTTTGCCTTGACTCCGGTCACCTTCGACATGTGAAACTTTTCAAGAAAACAAGTGATTTCGGCATTGTAGATAGTCGTTTGGCCGATGCTCTTGAACTTGTGTTCTTTCTTCTTCTTCATCTTCATCCAAACAAACCCCGTGTTTCTGTTGAAACCGAACTCCTCAATATCGTCTAATGGCAATAGTCCTTTTGGGAAGGAGAATTCTTCGAGTACTTTTTGGATCTTCGATTTGCAGATATCTGATCCATGGCAAATCTCTGCTCCTTGCGTGTGAGTTTCGATTAGTTTTGCCGTTGCCATTTCTTTATTTTCTAATTTTCTTCGTATTTTCTTTCGTTGCGATTGCGAATGATCAGGAGTTTACGGATTACGCTTTTTATAGACCATCTTTGGTTTTCAAGAATTATTACTTTTAAATTTTTGGTGATGTATTAATTATTGCACTTATTTCTCGAATTCCCTTTTGTCGTCACTTGTAATTAACTGAGAGATAATTGTGAGAAGAAAATGACACTGAGTAATGTGTATTTAAGATGTTTGGCAAGTACTACTAACTAGCCACTACATCAATTTGAAGTTGTTGGATGAATTTCATATGTATAATTTAGTACGTTTACACCGAGTCAGGAGCGTGATATATTATTATTTAAACGAGATTATTAATTTATCGAGGTTTTACTGTAGCTAGTAGATTTATCTGGGCACTGATCAATTTGAAGTTGGATGCATTTCATGTGTATTTGCTTGGTAACGTTATAATTATCAATATATTATTGTATGTCAACGTAATTTTGCACAATATTTGGATAATAAAATTAGTATTCTTGCCAAACTCCCCACTAATGTTTCCCGCCACTACTAATCTAGACATAAGTGACTTTAATAAGTCTTTAAATATATGCATGCATGTGTTACCAAAACTTTATCTAACAATGTGAACATATATGCTGTAACAAAAAAATTATTAAAAAAAAGGAAAACTGTCTAATATGCATAATAATAGAAATATTGATTTTGGGGATTATGTATTGTAAAAAAATAAAAAAAAATAAAAAATAATAATAATAATAATAATAATAATAATAATAATAATAATAATAATAATAATAATAATAATAATAATAATAATGATTTATTTGGATATCTGCTATAATTATTCTTCTTAAATTGGAAATTATTAATGCTACTAAACCTTTTTTTTTTTTTTTTACTTTCAGACATAGGATTTAGGGTGGCTGAGTGTAGGTTAATTAGCTGTTCATACCTCTAATTCTATTACATATAGGTTACTACAGTTTAAAAAATTAATAATAAATAAATATAATAATAATACAGGTCTTTCTTTTTTACCAAGCCCAAAAAATTGAGCCCATATTAAAACCAAAATAATTTAAGTGCCCAAAAGTACCCTTCACATTTTTCGGTATAAATGGGCTGTGGTTAGCCCATATTCAATGGGCCCCTCTCTCTCTCTCTCTCTCTCTCTCTCTCTCTCTCTCTCTCTCTCTCTCTCCCTCTCTCTCTCTCTCTCACTTCAGAATCGAGATTTTTGTTTTTAATTTTCATCTACTATATATTATTTATTACTTATAATAGTGTAAAATTAAGATAGAGGATCTGATATGTATATTCTCGCATGTAATGTGATTTTCCGAATATGACTCATTTATTTCTCCTGTTTTCACTTTTTTAGACAAGGAAAACTCCCTCTTCCCATCATAAATTGACAAGCATACTATATATTTATTTGGGGAATTTACAAATTTCACCCCTCAAGTTTGCACTGACTCTACGTTTGATCCCTTATGTTCGTAAAAAACACATTTGGTCTCTCATATTTTAATAATTTGACATTTTTGGTCATTTCCGTCAATTTTCCCTAAGCCTCTCAGTTAGAGTAGTGATGGGCACATGTTTGATTCCGTTAATTTTAATAGAAAATTGACGAAAATAACTAAAGGTGTTGAATTTTTGAAATATCACTACGCCAAAATGCAATTCAGGCGACTTTTTTTTTGCGACTGAAATGGATTCGTCGCAAATTTGCGACGTTTTAAACAAAAAAAGTCGCAAAAAATAAAAAGAATTGCGACTTTACAAATTTCGTCGCATATATGGTCGCACTAAAGAAGATAAAAGAATTCCGTGAGCATTTGCGACGAATCAGCTCAATCGTCGCAATTGTTTGCGACGAGTTTTCTACAAAACGACGCTACCTCCACCAGATTTCTCCTTCGCCGCCACCACCAGCTTTTGCCGCCGCTACCACAAGGTTCCATCGCCGCTGCCCCCGAATTTCACGACCGCGGAAAACTATTAAACAAGTATGGAATTTATGCTCTATTAAATCGATTTCAGATTCATACTTGTCTTTTTCTTCAATCTGATTTTGCTAAAATTGGGATTTTCAATTTAAAATTAAAAAAGTAACAATATTATAAATTTTTAAAATAAATTTAATAAGAGCACAAATCTAGTAGTGATTTTGGTTGTATTGTTTTTCTGTGCTGATATATCAACTCAAAAATGCATTTAGCCTTGCATCACTAGATTATTAGAACTTCTATTTTGGGTGTAATATTAAACCATGCCTTTCAGTGGGGGCAATGACCCCCTCCGCCGCATCGCCGCCGCGAAACACCCCCGCAGCTCCGAGTACACTCGATCTGCTACTTTTATTTTTCCTCCGGTTCCGTGAATTTCGGCTTGTTCGTCGCTTCCGCTCACCTCCGGTAAGTGTGATTTCGTCGCTATCTTATGTCAGTACGCCGTTTGGATCTGAGAGATTGTGAGTTGAGCTGCCTGATAATACTGCAGAATACATACAGCTTGATACTGTATATATATATTTTTTCTGTTCGGTTTTATATTTACCAGTGCATTTTGACTTGAGAATGATTTTTTACTTGATTGAGGATAACTGAGCTAGTGAGCCTGTAATTCTAGTGGAAAGAAACTGAAATCATGTAGTACTGTTTTGCCTTATGTAATGGCAACTTAAGGAGTAGTT